CATGGGGTTGCACTGCTCATACTCTGCCCCCCACACAGCAGGAGGCTGTGTGTGTGGGGGGGGTCTCGTGTGGCTGGGTGCATGGGGCAAGGGCCAGGCCCCAGGACCAGCTGCTTTTCATGCACGGCATCAACAAGGCAAGACAGCGGCCCACTTAGTTCACTGCAGTCTGCTCTGCAGTCTGCACTGAGCACACAGACACTGGATTGAACTCCAGCCTTTTTAAGCACAAAGGCAGTGATGCACAGTGGCTAGAGTAGCCTTCCTCCAACCTGATGCTTTGCTGATGCTTTAGAAGGCATGGCTACAGCATATCCCATGGGGGGCAGCTCAGGCCTGCATTAATATCCCTTGCCTGGGGCTATTTTGGAACCCAGGCACAATGAAACTCACAACCAAGAAGGAGCAGCTTATGCTAACGTAACTTAAGCAAGTGCTTGGTTAGCATACCAGAGATCCGGGTTCAACTCTCCCCCCCCCCCAGCCTAAAGCTCCCCTGGAGGACGTGGGCCAGTCCCATCATCTCCTAGACCACCCTTCCACCCCACCCCGAGTTGTTTGCGAGAAGACTCAAGATTTTGGAAGCAGCCGCATGGTGCTAAGCCCACTCTCTACAAGAAGATTTCTGTGTGCATATTATTGGAACTTTATGCATACAGGTAAAAATAGCACCCTGCACAAAGACTGTCAAGTCTATCTGATACTGTGTGTAGGCGGAGCGGCTGTGGGGGGAGGAGGCTGCACTGAAGCACACGCTTTTTCAGAAAAAGCTTGACAGAAGTTCTTCAAGCTGCTTTGATCTGAGACAAACTGGGATTCGTGGGAAGGCCTCATTTGGCCTGATTAGCAGCCCCACTTCTGAATACACATTGCCCAGAGACTGCACTGGTTATTCAAAGGGGTAGTTTGTATAAAAAGAGGCCACTGGTCATACCATGAAGTGTACACAACACTTGCAGGCTGAAATAAGGTATTTTCCATTAAGGGGTAATAAGCGAGAAGCGATAGGCTGTGTCTGTAACATCAAAACATGCTGTGCTAATGAAATCAAAATATCACAAGCAAAGTGGATTCATACAGTCAGAAGATCCCCATTCAGACATCAAGGGGATTGTATAGATTGGAGGTGAGAAAACGCCATTTAGAGAGCCAATCCAGGGGTCCCAGTCCAAGCTGTGGCGTTCCCAAACCTGGCCCCTGGGCTGAACAGGCCTTCTCACTCCTGCAAGAGGTCACCCTGCATTTCAGCCTCAGCCCACCTTCCATCGTATCACACCCAGATGAGAAATTCAACCTGCTTTAGAGGGCAATGGCAAAGATTACTGAGAAATGATCTGAAGTGCACTGCATTAAGGCAGCGTTCATGGACCGTACAGCGTCATTAATAATAAATCCTGCAGAGCTGCCTATTTTGCACGATTTTGCATTCTCTCCATTTGCCAGGCAAAGAGCTGCAAGCTCGATCCCCTAGCCACGGGCAAACCTGCGGGCCTGTCCTCTTACGAGACTCCAACTGGCAGCTCCCACAAGTTTCCAAGTCTGCCTCTTCAGCCTGAAGCAGCAGCAATTTTGAAAGAGCAGCAACCCCTGCTGAGAATCTGAGCACTGCATCCAGTGCTGTAGAGGGAAAAAGCGAAAACTCCAGCGGCCTCGCCAATCACCTAAAAATCCACCAAGAAGCCTCTCTTATGAGGGCAGGCACAGGAAGGGCAGAAACAACGCACACTAAGGATAACCCAGTGTGTGTCCAGTGATACGGCTCGTCATATATCAACTAAATTAATGGTAAAGTTCCTGTCCATTCCCTTCTGGCAGCCGTCTGCCACTGTGTGTTGAACATATCTTTTATAGGCATCAAGAGAGTTGCTGCGGTGAAAAGTACACGACGGCCAAGGGTGACACCAGCCCGGTGGCCACGGGGGAGCAGAAGCTGCCTGCAGGTGAGTCCAGGTGGGCAGGGAAGAGACGGAAGGAGCATTCTCCTCTTCTGCACCTGGCATGGACACCAAGCAAGCTACCAGAGAAGAGGATATCGAACAGCAGGCCACCCATCCCTTGTTGCCGTATTCAAGCACAAAAACAAAAATTCTGACGGGCTAGTAAGTTTGCCAGAGGAGGGTATTTATAAGGATGTGATAGCTATACTATCACCCAGAAAAAAAATATAAATCACACAGCTTGACGAGAGGCATGCTAATTGAAGGAAAATCTCTCCAAACTCAACTAGATTTACTCTTGGGCAAATCTGCACCTTGTGGACTGGCAGCCTTGTGAGTCTTTCTCTGCAGCTCCTCTAACAAAGCGATATTTAGAGGGAAACCAGCCCCAGTCACACCCCTACAACACGATATGCAGTGGGAAAACACTTGCTACTCGTGGCCACAGCAACTGCAGTCGTTCAGGGGGCCTGCCAGAAGGACTTCTCCCTCCCCGTTCCCAGGGAATCATTCGGCAGCACAGCATGCAGCTCTGGCATTTGGCAAAGTGTGCGCAAATGATCAGAAACGCAGACTTACGACAAGGCTGAACAGAAACCTAAAGAGTGAGCGAGCCTCATCCATGTGGACGGGGGACAGGAATTGCTTCAAGTCCTCCAGGATCCTCATGCGAAAGGAAGTGGCGGCGGCGGGCATTAATTTAGGAGTGCTTGGATGAGGAATTTAGAGCACAGCTGCTGCCTTTGCTTCTGCTGGGCTGGCAAGCCAGCACCAAGGCACACACATCCCTCCGTTGCTTCTGGACGAATTCTCCCTTGCGAAACGGCAGAAGATGGAGATGGAGTTGCAAAGAAGAACCAGCGCGTGGCATTTCTACCTGGCTCTCCTGCAGGATGTTTCTCGCTGCCGCTGGGAAGGAAGATATTCCTGCCACCAGGTCCCTGACATGATGCCCTAATTGCACAGCGATAAATCCAGAGCCTCTGATGGCTCTTGACTTTGGCGTGGGGCCAGCAGAGAGGCTGATCGGCCGTAAGTTCAGGTCTGATTAAAGCATGCAAGGCTCTGAGTGCGGCGGCAGCAGCAAGTGGAGCGGGGCACGCGCAGCTTCAGATCGGGGTTTGGCGGGGGGGGGGGCTTCTATTTGGGCAACGAAGGCAGCTGCCCGGAGACTGTGCCTTCTGCTGCCTCTCAGGAACGCCTCTTTAGTCAAGGGCAGTTCCTACAATGCTCGCAGCTTCCAGGTAGAGAGTAGAACTCCTTAACTCCAAGTGGGATGCAGTAATTGGCAAAAAGTATAAATATTGGTACTGTTGCCTTTTTTCTCTTGTTTCAGCCTTTACAGCTTCTTAAAAATCCCCTTTGTTCTCAGGGTTTAAATTAGGAAAGCTTTCACTTTTGGGGGGTCCCAGACCCTTTGGCCTAGGATACTTTTGGGGGACAATCACAGCATGGATACAGCAAAGGAAAACAAGGCGCAGCAAAGGTGAACCATCACGCAAGGGAAGCTGAGCCACGATGGAAGGCAAGAGACTGTCACTGGCTAATCCCAAATGGGAGCCAGCGCCATGGCTCAGTATGACTGGACAGCCGCTGAAGGCCCCCAAGCCAGGAAGGGCCTGCTGAGAAGAACCCCCCAGGATTGCTCTTCCCCTTTGTCTTTGCAAGCTGGCGGGGGTCAGACTAGATGGCCGGGAGACCCCTTCTGACTTGCTCTGTTTCTCTTGCCACTCACTCTGGCCCAGGCAATGGTGGTCATGAAGACAAAGAACCGATGATGCCCAGCCACCTGGCTCCTGGGCTCTCTGCCTGCCAAGCAAGGACATGGCCGCTGTAATGAGAAAGGGCAGCAAACAGAGTCACTTGCCAGAGCGGGGACTTTGAAAAACATGGAGTCAGCACTGTCTCTAGGGGCCAATTCCACACTAACCTGGCAACATTCAACAATCTTTGCCTCAATGTCTTATCCAGCAACTGGGACGAGGAATTCACCAACGGATGCTTCTAAGCCCTTTCGTTCTGGCAGTTGTCCTGCGCCTTCAACATAGCATGGCAGGCAGAAATCCAACAGGGGTAGCTCTCCCCACCATATATAGAGGAACACCCAAGAGCCAACTGGACAAGTGCCAGCACAGTGTAGTGGTGGGTGTTGGATTCAGGCCAGTGAGACCCCAGTTTGAATCCCCGCTCAGGCATGATGCCTTCCCTGGGTGAACCTGGACAACCAGCGGTGAGGACAAAAACTGGTGTAAACAGCAAGAACCCCCTGAGCTCCTGGGAGAACGACGGGGAGGCGGAGATGTAGGGAAATACACTGCAGTGGCAGGGTCAGATGAACCCCAATGTGCAGCAAGGAAGGGAGCAAAGCAAATGTTCTCCTACTCCCCACATTGCATCTCCAGTTTTTCCCCTGGGTTCAGCTAGGTTTTAAAGCTCTGCTTGGCTGCAGCATTCCCCGACTTGGGAAACGTTTTGTACTGCACCTCCCATTAGCATCAAAAAGTGAAGCAACGGGAGTTGTGGCAAAACGACGGCATCTTCCACCTCCTCAGGTAGACTCAAACTCTGAGCCAGGGATGGGGTGAGCATCCAGCACTCAGGGATGCCACCACTTGGAGAACGGAGCCTTCCTCTCTCAGGTGGACCACTTAACTGCACCTCAAGCTGGGATAATTCTCTGCAGGTGGGCATGTGGCTGTCCCAGCCAGCAGAGACTTAAACGCTGGGAGAGGGCTTTTTCCTCTGTTACTTTCAAATTCAGGAATGCACTCTCTCTAGCATGGCAACTGGTCCCCAGGTTATGTTTTTAAGGTTATTTATGCATGTTTTACAGTGCTTTTATTGATTTGGGGATTTATTAGCTTAGATTTCTGTAGTTTGCAATGGCTAATCAAATCCAGCCCATCAGTGGGTGCTAATCAGAAAGGCAGCATAGAAAAGCAATGGATCAATCGATGCTGTTTATGATGCACGGAACATGCCGCTTTCCTTCCTCACACCAGAGCCTATGAAATTATGTCCCAACAAGCTGATGAAGAGAAAACCGCAAGATGGGCGTGTTACCTTTTTGTGCTGCCATACTGCCCTTGCTGTCTTCCGAGTCCTCGCTTCCCACACACCAGTACATTTTGAGCTTTCACCACGACCGTTCAACAAGTCAACTTTCCAAAACATGGACTATCCAAAATGGAGTCATCCAAACCATATGACATTATTCCGCTTGGAAGATCTTTGCTATTAATCACTGCCTGGAAGAGAGGAAGAGAAAGATCAATATTAATCTTGCCAGTGGTCCAGGAACTACAAACTGCACCCTTTCTCTGAAACAGACTGTCCCTTAGGAGCCTTTGTCCTTAGCATTACTTAAAGCAGTTCTCAGTAACTTTTTATGCAGAGATACTAAGAAATTGCAGTGACTGAGCTCTTTGGGGGAAGGAGTTTTACTTTACTTCCTTGGCCACTTTCAATTTGCATTTATGTTGTATGGGAATTTAATGTAAACTGCATTGCCTTTGGGAGTAATTAAAAATCCAAATACAGAAACAGAGATTATATAGGAAGAAGGAACTGGGAGATCAGACACCCACATCAACAGTAAACGGAAGTCTGGGTGCTTCTAGGTGGAGAGTTCTTAGTACAACCTACTAAAAGGCACTGTGCAGTAAGTCCATCTTTTCCTCAACCATTTTTTGTGGAAAGAAGAAAAGGACTGAAGAAACAAGAGAAGGCTACACAAGGAAGACTGTGGAGAACCTCAGGAAAATTTTAACCCACCCATTAACACGCAAGATTTTGGGCTGTTCACCTGCTTTCCTGGGAGGACACTCCCAGCCCCAGCCCAGCAAGTTTTAAAGCTCATACCTGGGCAAAGTTTGGTTCCAACTAAAAACATCCTCTCCTTTTAGGAAAATGTCAGCAGCCGCCTTGTGAACACTGCTTCTGCATTTGTCTTTGCAACTGAAGCAGAAATGGCAACAAGATGTTTCTCCTGAACTTCCTGCTTTCCATTTTTGTTATGCAAATCTCAGTGCACTTCATTCACCAGTGGCTGAAATTATGCACTGTTTTTGGCTCCTTCTGTGGCCCTGCCATGCACACTCCAAGTTCTGGTGCAGCAAGAGGCTTAAAATACCAAGTTTAAAAGTACACAAGGCCATTTCACTTGACTGTGATCTGAGAAGGATGCGTTCCCCATCAAAAAGTTGCCACCCATTACCCAGCTTTAGCATGTCCAATATCTGTATAACTGCTGTTGGATTCATTTATTTATGTCTAGAGGGCCCCACAGCCGAAGCTCGCTGGGTCGTTTTCAACAGCACATGTGCTGCAGCCCTTACAATGACTGGAATCGTGGAGCTCTTTGGTGCATGCCGGATCGAGCCAAACGTCCTTCTAGTCCAGCTTGCCCGCACACAGCGTCCAACCACCTGCCCATGGGAGCCTGCAAGCAGCGCTCTGAAGCAGGCAGCAGCCCCCTCCTGCCATTCCGGCTCCTCAGCAACCGGAACCCGCAGGCTGACAGCCTCTGCTTCTGGGGCAGCCCCTCCCCACAGATCTGCCCAATCCCCTTTCAAAGCTGTTGGAAGGAGGGGGTGTGGTAGTGGTGGGGGTATATGGAGGCAGGGGACACGGACTAAAGCAAAGGGGCGGAGGCAAAATGCCCAAGCACCAGTGTCGATTAGCTTAGGCCTCTGGTGACCGCTGCTTCAGGCTTCAGCCTTAGGTATCTCGGCCTTTTGGAAGGCACAAAACTGTGCAGAAGCCAGGAAAGCACCCAAGAGGAGACCCGCTGGTTTTGCCTTGCCTACTAAGGGCGCAGTCCCTGCCCTCCATGGGAGGGGAATGGCTTTTTAAGGCTAAGGCTGCACAGGATTGTACCCACATCAGTCTTCAGTTTTATTTACTTGATTAATTTCTGGATCACCCCATAGCGGAAGCTTTCTTTAGGTGGGTAGCAGAACTAATGAGAACTCACTAAATCTGCAAGCAAGATGGGAGTTGCAGCCCAATGCACCAAGCAGGCATGCCCTCGCCCTCCCCCAGTCAAAGAGTGCAATTCCAGATGTGGCATCCAGAACAGCCTCAAGTTCAGAATTCCTGCCTGAACCCCTGCAGGGCCGCTGCTGCCAGACAGGGCCCGTAATACTGGCCTAGATGGACTGAGAGTCTGATTCAACCTAAGATCGCTTGCAAGGATTGTCCTTTTCTGGAAGGAAAAGGGGGCACTCTCCTTTTTTAAGGGATGAGCTGCACCCCCATCGCAGAGCCCCCCACTTTGCCTGCCAAAGGTCCCGGTTCCATCCCCAACATCTCAGCCAGGCTGGAAAAGTCCCTGTTGGAAAGCCCGGAGAGCCACTGCTGCCAGTTAGTGTCAGCAACTGATGGACCCAGGCTATCATTCAGTTGGTGGCCGTGCAGTCCTGCGCTCCTCCAGCGAAGGCGAGCCAAAGCAGAGGGGAAGCAGCTCGTAGCTGGTGATCTCACCACTCAGCCTTCCTGCCTGCCCCCTGCGACAGACCGCCACCCAGCAACACTTGCCCGGATGCTCCCGGGGCAGGGGGCGCAGGAGGGACAGGCAAGGCGGCGAGCAGAAGCCCTGCAGAAACGCAGCCACGCCAAGGCCCACAGCAGCCCTTGGCCTGGCTCTTTCCGCAGCAACCGCAGCCCTGCAGAAAGCACGGCAGGAAGCAGCTGCGCGCAGATGGCAGAGAGGGGAAGCGAAGGGCCTCAGGCGGGCTGGCCAAAGGGCAGCCTCGAGCCACAGCCGCGCACTGCCGTTTGTGCGGAGGCACGGAGGGAGGGCGAGGGAAACGCGGGTGGGGGACGAGGGCAGTGCAGCTCCTGCCCCTTCCACAGCCACAGCCCAACGCCTTCCTGCCACCAAGGGTGCAGCTCGCCTCGCCTTCCCTGACACGCGTGGCCAAGGGCTGCAGGCAGGCAGGCAGGCAGGCAGGCACAAAGGAGGGAGAGCTGGCCGAGGGAAGGGGGACCGTCTTTCCTCTGCACCCTGCACGGAAACCAAGTGAGCTGCTGGAGAAGGGGGACGCTTCCTCCATGCCCAACACAGAACTGCAGCTTCCCATTTTCCTTAACAGCCTGCAGTCTAGTAAAAATTTGGCAGGCCGGTAGACTCTGACGGGCCACTTCCCCGGTCCCTTGAAGGACTGCTTATTTCCTCTCTTCCCTCCATATCACTTGTTCCTTGTGAGCCGTGTCTTCGTGGACTGTAATCCTGTAGACAGGGACTGTCTATTTCTACTAAATGTGTATAGGGAACTTCTGGTTCTCTTTGGCTGAACAGCAAGGGGTTTTTTAAATACATTACATGAATAAAGAAGATGGCAAACCATAGAAACTGACAAAAGTTGGCTTGCTTATTTGAGGCTGTCACTAATCCTTTCTTTCTGCATTTTCTGGCAGGTGTGATCCAGCCGGACAGAGAAGCCACGTCTCCTCTTGTTTGGTAGTGAATCCCGCCATTTCTTACTGGTTTGAAAATGGCTGGCTGTGCAATGCCAGTTCTCCAGCACCCCAAATGAGCAGAAAGTGGATTTTTGGGGTGCTTGAAGTGAATTAAGCTAAAGAAGTTGCAAAATATTTGGGGCACAATCCTACACAGGTTTAGACAGAAAGGAAGTCCTATAAACTTTAGGAAAAAATCCTAAACATGCATAGGATTGCACTCTTGGTTATAGGCACTGCTTACGGGCGCTGCAGCCAATCTTGGGCCACTGCACCAACATCTACATGCCTGCAAAGTCTGGTGACATTATGCAGCCCTGCTCTCGAGAGATTTTCCCGGGAAACAGATCTGCCAGATTCTGATGCCAACTGCAGACAGAACGTGAGGTGTTGGAGGGCTTTTTCTGTCTGTGCATGCGTGGGATTGCAGCGCTAGTTAAACTGCTTTTAAAGCAGCACAGCAGGAAAAAAATGCTTCCCCAAATTCCACGACAAGTTACTTTCTCTTAAATCAAACATGGCGCAAGATCCCCTAGTTATCCAGGGGCTCTTTCTCTCCCATTTTAACTTGCTACATCAGCCTGAGCTTTAAACGTTTTCAGGAGAATAGCTAACATTTATATAAGCACTTTTGAGTAATCAAAGTGCTGCATTTATATCTTTGGGGTTTCCCATATGGCCATACCACTTTCCCCTGGGCCTATCACCTTTCCTGCAACCATTTATCATTTGCTGGTTACCCAGCTTTTATGTAATTCCTTCCCACTGCACCATTTTAAATGGCTGTAATGTTTCCACTAAGATTTAGTTACTGGCAGTAAGCACATTCAGCTAAAATATGCTGGAGTTTCTGGCTCTCCCCTTTTCCTTTTACCCCACCCACCGCTGAAATAGAACCCATGAATCTCCTCCAAAATGGAATTCACCCCATCAGCTGAAATCAGTTCTAGAGTTGAAGAAGTCATGGGGTTGAACCACAGGAAAAAGATCCAAAGATCCAAAAATAAGCAACATCTACAAAAATGCAATTGTGTCAGTTAAGACCAGATTTCCACAACTGGGCACCCTCCAAATGGGTTTGCTGTGCTCAGCACACCAGTCAGCACTGCTGGTGGATGCTGGGAATCAGAGTTCCACACACCTGGAAAGCATCATGACACGAAGGCCTGGCTTAGTGTCTTAGCAACAGTTTAATCAGGAGTTTGATGAAGCGGCTCTTCTCTATGGCAGAAGCTACCCATTACACCCCTGCCCCTGTTCTTGATCTGACACGCACAGCCCATCCTGAGCGACTGAACACTCCCAGAGTCAGTGCTGCTTTGTGACTCAGAGATGGTGCACTGAGGGCTAGAGGGAGGCTGGCATGGCGTGCAAGCAACTTTCGGTCTTCTCTGTAGTCACGCACAATTGTACTCTCCACTCCTCATGTGCAGAAGAGTTTATAACTGAGCTATAGGGTGGGGAAAAGGACACGTACACAAATAACCCCCACTCCTCCTAGGATGCATTAAGAGCTGAACTGTTGTCTCCAAGATCTGGGAGATAAGGCAGCATCCAAGTGCCTTCTGGGCAGCCCTAGCCAGTTTCAGAAAGCCCAGGCCTTTTCCTGTAGCCTGCAGAGCAGAAAGGAGCTCCACGCTGGGGGGCTGGAGTGATGTGCTGGGGACCGGGGAGAGCCAGGCTCCAGTCCTCACTCGGCCACGAAGCTCACAGGCTGACTTTGGGCCAGGCACTCATTCTCAGCCCAACCCACCTCACAAGGTTGTTGTTCTGAGGATAAAATAGGGCTATGTAGGCTGCCTGGGGCTCCTCGCCAGTGGAAAAAGGGAAGGATGTAACGCCACGTGTTTATAATTACATTAACTGAAATGTTTCTGTCCTGGGCACGTGCCAGTCAGCAAGGGCCCCTTCCCTGCTTCCACCAACATGAGGACATTTCAGTCCCACTTGAGCGGTCCGGGATTTCCTTCCTGCCCCCTTTGTCTTGCTTTGAAAGATCTGTTGTACCTTTGGAAATGCTGGGATCCCTCCAAGCATGCTGCATGCTCGCTCGCTCGCTCTCTCTCTCTCTCATTGCTCAGTGGCCCCACATCACTTGATGTTCACTGGCTATGTCTGCTCTCAAGAGGAAGCATTTCAGAAGAAATGCTTAGACTAGGCAAAGAAAAATCATGTTGCAATGAAATGACATGAAATGCTGGGCACCTTTATCTTACAGCTGTTCCAAGCAAACACTTTCTGGCCAATTCAGGCTGGAATTCTCTGGAAATTCGCTGGGCCCTCCTTCACAAGAAGAGCATTTCCATCTCATCTATCTGTATGTGCCCATGTGAGAGTCTCTGGGGCCCTTGAGTGGGAGCGAACTGCTGCGCTCACATCCTGCTTGAGGGATCCCGTGGGCAGCCGGTTGGCCACACTCCATGGACCTCGGTCCCATCCAGCAGGGCTTCTCATATGTCCATGTGCCCCTTGGCGACTATTTATCTGTCGCTACTGATATTCCCATTATCCAAACCTGCAAAGGAGTGCTGGATATGTCCCGAGCATGCTCATAACATACACTATAAGGCCCAATAAGCAAACCCGGCCAATGCCCCGAACTCCTTTACAACACACTTGGACTTCCATGGTTAGTTATCACGGGGTCCTGAGCCAACAAATTTATTATGGAACTACACTATTTATTTATTTACTGGATCTATTTGAAAGATGCCCATTAACATCACACTCTGCAGAGGAAAAGGGTGGAAAAGAGAGGGAAAGACTTGCACTTTCTCAATATCTGTTTTGAGAAAGTTCCTGCAGAGAAGGTGAGGCCTGCTTGCTGAGAGAATCAGGGAAGAAGCAAAGCAAATGCAGCACAGAGAGAACATGGGTTTAAGCATGCAAAAAGAGCACTTCTTGGACTATATACTGTGCAGGCTGGGAGGGAGAATCACTGCTTTGAACCCACCTCTTCAAAAGCAAATCCAGCCTTCTCTGCATAAAAGGAGAAGCAGCTGTTAAGGGTGATGCTTGAAATGTGGCATGGAAGCAGGAGGTATCTCTGTGCTGAACCCAGGCCCAGAAACAAAGGGCAAGTGATAATTTCTTCGGAAGGATTTAATTGTGATACTAAATGTTCCTCTTCTGTTTTTTATTTTACTATTGCATGCTCTTACTGAACAGATTTACTTCAATGAAGTTATTTCTTACTGGTAACTTCTTAATATTGGGTTACTGGAACTGGTTACTTCTTAATATCACACATGCTTGGATGCAGTTTTGAGCACACGCATACAAGGCAAGCAACACACATGCATGTGGGACCAGTGGGACTACTTTTCAGTAAAGCTGCAGAAGACTGGGCTGCCCAAGACAAAGCTTGGTTTGTGTTGTAAAATCCCTCCAGGTGTCTTGAACTGTGATTCCCATTAGCCCCAGATCACAGCCAACCTGGCAGGACATTCAGGGAGTTGCAACCCAGCGCATCTAAAGGGCATTAGATTGGAGAAGGCGGCTAGATTCTTCTGGGCTCCTACAATCACCCGAATCCATGCACATATTTAGGAGGGGGCCAGAGAACACCATCTTCAGTTTTAAACTCTGCCCTGTTTTCCATCTCTTCTTCCATCTTTTTCATATCCGAAAACATCAGCAAAAGAGGGAAAGCCAGAATAGTTGAGCAGCCCATTCTGACGGAGAGCCTTGCACCTGGAGGCACCCAGAGAACTGCTACTCCCTTAGGGAGAAGCCAGCAGGGGTGCCCGAATGATATACAATGCTTTTCATATACATAGCATGACTTTGGAATTGCAGGTGTCACTGCAAAAGCAGGAGGGGAAGATTCTCAGCTGTGAAGTTCCTTGCATGAAAGGGAGTTTGCAAAGGAAATTTTCAGAGTTCTCCCTCTTCAACAAAGTTAGATGCTGACTGAGCGAACAATTCTTTGCGTCTTCCAATGGCAATGCCAAAGATCACAGGTTTTTTGCTGTCTAAAGGGGTACAGAATCATGTCCTTAATAATGACTAACAAATCTTACTGATTTTCATGGGTCTGTATCTAACTCGAAGTTTCTTACACATCACACCTTTCCCGGGTTACAAACAGCATCCAAAATCTACTCTCTCCGGAGAACTCCTAAATCATTTCTGGAAAGTTGCACTCCTTTCCATCTTTCCTAGGCCAGCTCCTTTAACTACAACCTTGGCAGCAGCGGGGTGTCCCTCCTCGGTCTCCAGGAGTTTAACCAGCCCTGCACTAACAGCAGCTTCATGGGCCCATCTGGAAATTAAGCCGCAAAACTTTTCGTAGCAGGAAGAAAAGTTGACGGGGAACAGTTTGCGCTGCTTCGTCTCCTTGTCAAGGGTTGTGAAAGGCACGGGAGGGTGCGTCATGATCATAACACAGGCGAGGAGAGGGGGGTCACACCCTAAATCCTCAAAGGCTGCGGATGGAAAAGCCGAAAGGGAGTAGGAGGGGTGGAGAAGGGGAGATCCTGCGCACGCTTTCCTGGGCGTAAAACCCACTGAGCGCAGTGCAGCTTCCCTTCGAGTAGGCATGCCGAGGGCTGCGGGGCAAGTGAGCGGGGTGCGAGGGGGGCAGTTAGTGCACACGTGACTCTCCTTGGAAGAGGATTTATGAAGGGGACTCGAACAGGCACGTCCCATTTTCTGCGCGTCTCAGCACTGCCTTCCCAGTGCGCTCGCCTTCCTTTTGAGCCATGTTTTCCCCTTTCTTTTCCTGCCTTTCAGCAAGAACGACACAGCAAAGGCTCCTCCCATCTCAGGCTGGGAAATCCCTGCACGATTGTTTTTAGAAGGCAGAAAGGACGAGCTCCTCCGAACAAAATATTCCCCCCGGAGTCCTAAACCACAAGCGGCTGCGGCGCGCTCCAGTTTAACGCACCAACTCAAGAAGAGTCGGTGCCACTCCAACAGCTGAACTCGCTTCTGAGTAGAAGTGCCCGGGGCCGCGCTGGCCCTCCGCCCGTTTTAAGCTGCCCGAAGAGTCTTCCCTGCCCTGCGGGTTGGCGCTCGGGGCATTTGCTGGGGTAAAGTCGGCGCGAAGGAGCGCCTCGGAGTGCGGGGGCGGGGAGAGCTTCCGCGAAGCCTGCGGCCGCAGCAACGCCGCCGCACCTGGGAGAGGGACCGAGGGCTGCAGCCGCCACCTACCTTCGTCAGCAGTTGCCGCGGCGTCTTCCCCGCCCGGGGCCGCCGCTTCCTCCTCCTCCTCCTCCGGCGGGACGCTTCTCCTGCCGCGGACGGGTCTCCGCCACAGGCAGCGGCGGGCGGGGAGGACCGCGCAGCGCCGCCGCGACTTCCTCGAGCGACGCGGCCGTGTGGGTGGGGCTCGAGGCGGCGAGGCGGGCCGCGGGCGGGCGGGCGAGCGGCGGCCTGGCGCGGGGCAGCGCCCGCGGGGCAGAGCCGGCGCGGGGCCGCCTCTGGACGACTTGCGGGTGGCCGCGCAGCTCGCTTCTGGGCCGGTCCCGTCCGGGGGGCGTGAGCGCCGCTTGCAGGCTCCCGGAGCGCGGCGCGGGGCATCGCTGCCCCGCCAGGCTGGAGGGCCGGCAGCTTCCGGGATCGGGGGCAGCTCTGGGGGGCAGCTCTGGCGTGCCCAGCCTGTTTGCGCCTGTGGCCACATTTGGGAATGTGAGAAACTGCTGTGCACCCCCGAAAGGTCAGCTCAGCCGGTCGCCGCTTCGGCATCTGCCGTGCAGTCCAGTCTGCCGAGCTGGGGCAGCTTCCAGTTCAGCCAACCGCTCGTTTCGTGGCTGCTGGACACCGCAAAGCCTCTTTAACAGAGGACCGCCCGGCTGGTGCTGCCTAATTGCCACTGCCGGTAGTGCAGGACGGGTGCCGCTGCTTTACAACGCTCGTTTTTGCAGCGCCCACTGGCTGCTGCTTTGTGTGTGTGGCGGAAGAGCGACGGATCGGTATTACAACTGGCCGGCGCTTGCAGAACCAGAAAAGACTTTGCTGGAAACATGGAAACAGAGCGGGTCAGAGGGGCTTCCGGGCCATCTAGTCTGACCCCCGACTCCAGCCAGCGGCTCCGCTCGTGGTGTGCCTGCCACGTGCAAAGTCTCTGTGCCCGTGTCTTTGAAGGTCCTGCTTCTGCTTGTAAAGAGAGAGGCGTGGACAGGGAGAGGAGGGCATTTGGCGTCAGGGAAAAGCTCAGGCAGAAAGAGTCAGGGGAGGGGCGGCTGGGGGTGCAGCATGTGTGGGCAAAAGGCCACGCCAGAGCCCTGCTCCTCCGTTTCAGCAAGCGTCCATTGAGTGCCGAGGCAGCTGCCTCACAGCACTTGGGGGCTCCAGCCCTGGTGGGAACCCCTAACACCGCCTCTGATTGGAGCCTTGGAGGGATGAACAGTGCATTGAGAATTTTATACTATTCTCCATATGTGAGCAAGTGGCATACAAGAATCCGGCTGTTCAATTTATGTCCGGATCTGTAGCCACCTTCCGAGGGATCCTTCTTGGGCTCTTTGGTCCCTTATTGTTAAAGCCTATGCATACCGGCTAGAACGTTGCTGCATTTCAGATGTGTTCATTGCTCTGGACAGGTTCAGCTCCACGTGTGCTTTTAAAGTTTTTTTTAAAGTTCAGGGCTCCAGAGTGGGGACCCCACAGGCACCGTGGCTGACGGCACTGGTGCAGCGTCTTCGTGTCTCCTGGCAGGCTTCCTGTCCGGCCGACCACCTGCCTCCAGCCCCTGCCTTGGTAGAGCCCCGACAGTCCCTTCTGAATGGCAGGTGCGGTTCATCATGAGAGTTGCCATGGGCACGTGCCCAGGGAGAGTCCAGAAAGGCAGGCAGTTGCATAAGGACATCCTGTTCCTGCTGAAATTTATTTTCATGTCAGCAGTCTCACAACTGCTCTTCTGGGTTTCAGGGATCCCCTCCAGATGCCATGGATCTAATGTGGGAACTTCTGCATTCTTCCACAAGCTACCAGTGCCTGCACCTTCACCCTTGCAAACTGTGGTGCCCCCCAAGCATGCCAGTTTCGCAGCAGCCACACCAGCACTCATATCGGACCTTGCTGCCTTGAGCCGCCACAGATGTAGCTGCCCCAGTAAAGATGCACAGCTTATCTTCCATTGATGTATTTTATGCTCATGTCGGTACACCTTTAACTTTGTTAAACATTTTCAGTCTGATGTATGAATTTTGTACCTGACATTTGCCAAGAGAGCTGGCCTCATGAGCGACCCCAGGCAGGAAACTAATTTTGTTCACTAGTTGCAGTGGTGCCATGCAGACGTCCCCCACCTGGGTGCATCGCGAGGTTCTGATCAGCAGGCAGGTCAGCTTGGACTAGAATTTGGACATCATCAACAATCCTTGCCTAAAACCAGAGTGAGACTTTGGCTCAGCTCCATTGTAGTGTGTGAAAGCTATTACCCACACATTGAGCCATATCACAAAAATTATAACATTTTATTAACTGTAGAACTAATATTACAAGATATACCCTTTAAAACAGGCATAACATTTCCATGTACAATCAGCAATAAAAATACATTAGATTAATTGCATTCTAAATTTATAAATATATATTTATATATTTAAACATTTAAAAGTAATATTTCATACAAAAAGCACTAACATGCAATGAAAGAATATAAAGGCTCTACAGATTTGTACTTTACAATTAGTGCCTAATGGTATTTTATTATCCAATGTAGAAAAATTCAGTGTACACATTTTTTAAAAAACCCTGTTACAGTAAGTAGTTTACAAGACATCAGAAAACTTTGAGGTCACAAAATGAAATTTATGGAATCATTTTAAAAGGTTACCCATTAAAAAGAGACTGAATGTTCCAGATGGCATTATAGATTGTGCCAATTAAACACCCAAGACAGGCAATTATGGGTGCAGCCTTGTTCTTGCTGTATGTTGGGCAGGATCTACAGGCAAAGTCTCCCTTGTATGCCAGTGCAGAAGTGAACAAATGCTATGGACAGGAAATGCACAAGATCATCTACTAGTGGACCGTGCCTCCTGGATTTGACCTGGTTCGCATGTAATAGCCAATTATAGAACAAGTGAAGTGTTACTTGTGCCATTAAAAGCAATGGCCCGGTTCACATTAAAAAAATATCGCAACTATGTAACAATAAGGTATCTATCTGAAAACCCAGAAGCAGAGACTCTCTGTTGAAAAGTTAGAAAATATATAAATTTCATTTTTAATATGATGTGGCAGTGGGCAGGCAGCAAAAAGCCGTTCTCCAAGTAGGGGAGACTGATCTGCAGCAAAAACCCTCTATATCGTTAAGGCCTCCAGCCGTGCATGCATTATACAGCTTTGGACCACAGGTCTATGACTAAAGGGATAGACAGCTACCAAAACGACATCTAGCCCTTCCTGTCCTTGCACAGAAGCCTGGATGTCTCTTCCTAGACAGTTTTCAGCTAAATGGTCCATGAAAAGTCCCACAGTATAAAAAAGCCCAACCCTGCAGGGGTAGCAAAACCTGAACTGGTGTTTTCTTCCAAGATCAACAGAAAGGATATCTTGCAACACTCTCCCAGTCAAGATGTCTGAAGTAAAGGGAATGTCTTTTTTTAAAACAACCCTTCTCTGGTGTCCCACATTCCAAAATTTCATTGCCTCACCTGTGGCCAGTAGCAGCACGAATCTGGGATTCAGGCTTTGCTACCTGGTGACAGCGTAGTTTAAATAGGAAGTTGGGATGTGGGAACAATGCACAGCCAAGGTTGTCTCGTGTGCCCCTGTATCACCAACACAGACTAAAACCTGGTGCTGTCCTTAACCTGGTGCCCCTCTGGTTACTTTGGACTCTTAACACCCAGAATTCCTCGACCATGGGCCATGCTTGTGGGGACTGATGGGCACTGAAGTCCAAACCATCCAGTGGAACCCAGCTTGGCTTGATTTGGATTAGCAACTTCATATAGCAGTGAGACATGGCACACTCGGCGGTTCACGCTACCAGCATTTTTTGCGACTGCAGCGGGGCTGCTTTCATTGTCAGAAGGCATAACCTCCAGAACTGGGACAAATTCCATTGTCCACAAATGGCAAGGCCTTTGTTGTCCCTCCCGCATCCCAGGGGAGCACGGCAGCTTGACATGTGCATCTTCATACCTTTCAGCCTTTGTCTTGCAGTCTACACCAGCATCACTGGCACTGGCAAGCCCATTTTGGAAAGCCATTCAGTTAGCTTTGGGTTGGAATGAAGTCTTTCAGCAAGGCCTCAGAACAAGAAGTTATTTTTAAAAATCAGCTTCTTTCAATAAAAGATCTGTTCTATTTTTGCAGCCCACCCCCCCATAACATCAACATTCAGAGCGTCAGAGTTTTCGGTCTCTTGGCATATCCCACTCAGTGAGTCTTCTGTGAGAGTTTAATGGTGACTGTTTTCACTTCTGTGTATTCGCTCAAGGCATATTCACCCCTGTAAGAAGAAAAGATTGGCTGAGTTTAGGATATGAGCAACTGAAGACACCCGAGCCCCAGGGCGTTATTTGACCCATCCCCATTCTTTTGCCACCACTTGTCAAAAGCAGTTGTGATTTAACAACAAACAAAAAGATTATGGCCTTTTTCCAGAATCATGAAAGATGGATGGGACATGCATTGCAGAGTGCCAAGTTGTGGCAGAGGAACTGGGGCAAAGAACCCCTGTTTACCAAGCGGGGCTTCTTCATGCCAGCTGGGTAGGCATGGAGGCTTTTTTCTTGGAACTGGGGCTTCCATGCCACCACCATTTCCCAAACAAACTAAGCTGACTGGAGGGCTGGCATATTTTGCTTTTCCAGGGGCCACAGGCTCTCTTTGGATCCTGTAGAACCAGCTCTTACGACAAAGCCAGAATTCTCCCTTGTGTTGTGCTCTAATACACAATTTTTAAGTTCCCTCTTTGGAAGACCATTGGATGGAGGGCCATTGGATAGAGACTTCTGCACAGCCTCATGGAGGTAGCTTGTGAGGCTGGATTTTCCTCTCAGAAGACAGATTTCTCTCACTGACGTTGGAGGAAGAGGGAGATTCAAAATATCCTATGGCCCCTGGAATCCACAGCACTACAGCCTGAAAGCATGTATAGATGAAAAGATGGTGCCATGTATCTGAAAGCACCTGGTAAGATCATGAGATACGAAATGCCTGACTAAGAAAGGGCACCACCACACAAAAGCCTCTGCTCTTGATCAGTTCGAACAATTGGAAGAGAGCCCGATGCTCAAAAGCCTATGGTGAGGACACATGGGAAAAGGAACGGGCATCGCAGGTTCCCCAATCCATTTGAAAGAAGTCATTATAAATGGTAAACTGACTTTGTTTCTTGCTAAGGTGTAAAGAAGTTTCCCCTTTTAGAAAAACAAAATGAACTTACAGTTCTCTGCCATTTCCTGACATTTTAAAGCCACCAAAGGGAGCTTGTGCAAAGAGGGAATTATAGCAGTTGATCCTGTGGAACGAAAAAGATTATTTTTTTTATTTTTTCGATTTATATCCTGCCTTTTTCCTACAAAGGGCTCAAGTCAGCTTACATCATTCTCCTCTTCCATCTTATCCCCAGAACAACCCTGTGAGGTAGGTTGGGCTGAGATTAGAATGTATAATAGTTCCTAATCCATTTCGATTTTAGAAGTTGAAATTAGGTTAGTGAGGGAAGAACCCTAGAGTATAGGCTAATTTTGTTCTCCTATTGCATGATGTCAGAGAATATATATTACAACCATAAAGCAATGAGAAGAATGGAGGGAATGCACCCCTTTGAGACTTATTAATGATATTAACCTATTCCCTGGTTCCATGAGTTTGCTCTGCCACATTTTTTTACTTCTCTATTCTAATAAGGAGAATTCCTATAATTAATTCTCACATTTCAGCATGGGCACCATTTATTTTAGTCTTCAGGTTCACTGATGCTTTACTTTATGTGTTTGTTTTACAATAAAAAGGTGTATATAAAAGTAAAATCAGATATAGCAAATAAAATACAGCATGTTCAATCCAACTGCGCTCTGTTGCTGGAAGGGGTTTTGTTATACTGGCCACTTCTAGAGGAAGAGTCGGAAGGTGGTTTTTGCCAATTTCCCCATCAGTCCCCTGAAACCCCGTCTGCTCCAGAGGGTTGGGAGACCCCCCAGAATAATGGGAAAATGAGTGGTATTTGGGGGAGAAAGGGAATTGGCAGAGCATGCTTCTCCTCCCCATCTGACCACGCAGCCTTCTCCCAGATCTACAGCTCTCGCACAAGCAGGAGCTACTCGGCTCATGGACAGGAACTACTGGATACCACCCAGATGTTGTTAAATACCATCAAGTCATTGTTCCCTTAGGGCAGCCCTCCAGGATCTCCTGTCCTTGTCCAGCTCTTGGGCACTCAAAGCTGTGGTTTCCCTTATGGAATTGACCCGCTTCATGGTCGATTTTCCTCCTCCTCTTCTGCTTTCACCTCTGCCTACTATGCCTGTCTTCTGCAATGAGTCTTGCCTTCTCATGATGTGCTCAGAGCAGGATAGCCTCAGCTTTATCATTTTTGCTTCCAGGAAACGCTGTGTCCTAACTTGATTGAGGACGCACTTGTTCATTCTTCTGTCAATCTGCGGGATTCACAAAGCTCTCCTCCAGCACCATGTTTCAAGCACATCAACGTTCTCCCCTCCAGCTTTCTTTCTTGTCCAGCTTTCACATCCACACATAGTAATCAGTAATCAGGACTGCAATGGAGTGGACAGCCTTGGCCTCGGCCTCCAGTGAAATGTCTGGTTAAAACTATCCTCGTCACACTCAGTGCTTTTTTTGTAAAAAAAAAAAAAAAAAAAGGTGCCGGAACTCACATCTTGGGGTCACACTTTTACACTAAAAAAGATTTTCAATTCACCAACTTTTTGTGAAATAAAGAACTTATTTACCTTTTGCATATAGCCAGTCACTCTACACACACATAAACATAATGGTTGCCGCCGGCAGTAAGCACTCAGCGTGCGATCACACGGCCAATCCCAAGCCAAGCAGCGCCCTCACAATTGGCACAGACACACAAGCAGCCCGCAGGCACTATTTTAATTATTTTTGCAACTGACCTACTACACCCGACAGGGTGATTCACAATCACTTGGAAAAATCCATCAAAAAAAGGTGCCGGAACGCTGTTCCAGTGCATTCTATGACAAAAAAAGTCCTAGTCACACTTATCTGGACAGTTTGTCAATGTCCATCTGAAAATGTAGCACCTAGAACGGGACACAATGCTGCAGATGCCAGCCCAGAATAGTGTAGAACTGTCATTCTCATAAACTGCTCACTCTTGCTTGGCTGCCCCTCCCTGCTCTGTCCCCTCTGAAGGTTTGCTGAGCATCTCCTCTCTGTTCTCTGAGAAGCAGCACCATGAGGAATTCCAGGTGTGCAACCAAAAGTTGGGATGAAATTTGAGGTAGTGGCTTCCAGTAGAATTCTTCCTTTTCATCCACACTCCTGTAGGTATAAGATTGGCTCAAGTTTACAGACATAGACAGCTTTAATCTGGATCAGAGAAAGACACCTTACCACACAGTCCCTGACTGCAGTGCTGATGCTAACGTCAGGGCCCTGTCCAAGTTCTTTGTGAACACCGCCGCTGTGAGTCCATATTCTGTATTGTTGGCTCTTTGTATAACTTCTTCTATGCTTTTAAACTTCATTATGGGTTGAACAGGTCCAAAAATCTTTGAAGGAAGGAAGGTAGAAAGTTTATGGTATTAGCAATCAGCCATCACACAATTCCATATGGAAACAGCCATCATTCTGTTAAGTTCCGTATGACAAAAGACAGTAGAGAGAGCATAAACATAAAAACATAGAAAACAGAGCGAGTCAGAAGGGGCCTCCTAGGCCATCTAGTCTGACCTCCGGCACCAGCCGGCTCCGCTCACGACATGCCCACCATGTGGATGTCCAGCCTCTCCTTGAACACCCGCACCGATAAGGCCTCAACAACCTCTCGTGGAAGCCCATTCCACACCCTTGGGGTTCTGACTGTCAGGAAGTGCTTCCTGGCATCCAAACGAAACCTTGGCTCCCTGAGCTTTGCTCCGTTGGAGCGCATCCTGCCTTCCTCTGCAGGGGAGAACAGGTCTCTACCCATCTCCATGTGACATCTCCTCACATACCTGTATGTTGCCAACAGATCCCCTCTGAGTCTCCTCTTCTCCAGGCTGAAGAGACCCAGTTCCCTCAGTCTCGCCTCATACGGCATCCCCTGCAAACCGGCCACCAGCCTTGTGGCCCTACGCTGCACTGACTCCAACCTGGCTATATCCCTTCTGTAATGAGGGGCCCAAAACTGAGCACAATACTCCAGTTGCGGGTGCACCAGAGTCGTATAGAGTGGTAGTAATACCTCTCTTGATCTAGAAGCCACACTTCTGGCTATGCAACCAAGGGTGGCGTTCACCCTCTTGACCACCGCATCACACTGCTGACTCCTGTTTAGCCTGCAGTCAACCAGCACCCCGAGGTCCCTTTCACAAGTGCTGCTCTCCAGCCACTTGTCACCTAACCTGTACTTATGACACCTATTCCTATGCCCCAAGTGCAAGACCTGATTAAGCCTGATCCAGTTACTTTTGGATACATTTTTCAAGGCAAATATAATTAATTTGTGATTTATCTGTTCTGGTCAGATAACCAGTACAGCACTTCCTTGTGGCTGGTTTGGTTTTCCTTACTACTCATGCTCTTTATAATGGTCTCCTAACATGATATATGCAAGTTTAAAAAGAGGAGGTGCTCACCTTGCTCTGTTACATGGGGATACACTGAGCTGAAGGCTGGTGTGCGATGCTGTTTTAGATGCCGTCATGCTAGCATGCCTTAACCTAGTTTGCTATTAAAATGATGGAACTTTAAACTGGTGCCCAGTTTGTTCATCTATTTCTTCCCTCCCTGTATTTTCCCTTTTCTGCAGTACCTTCAAACCATAAACCTGCCTCGTTTTTAGGGTCTCCAAACAGAGGAATCCCAGTGCTAGTGGTAAGAATGATTTTTCTTTCTTAACCAATTTTATACAGAAAGATAAATGATGTAAACAGCAATGGAATGGGAGAGTTATGCAGGGTAACCGTGTCATCTTCATCACCCATAAAACTCCATGAATAGGGCAAAGCACAACATAAAAACTTCATCTGAGAGCACTGAGCAACATTTAGGGCCTTTATAAATCAAGTTCGAGGCAAGCCATCAGAAATCCACATCACAGTCTATAATACCATGGAAAACTCGCCAAATCAAATCATGTATTTTCCTTATTTCTGTAGGTGAATAGTTTCATCTCTGCAAATCCCTTTTAATTTCAATTCTTCATCAAAATAGCCTTGAGTCAATGGAGACATGGCTCATCACAGATTAATTTACCACAGTGCCAGGAACAGGTGGCCCTCCTGCTGTTATTGGATTCCGGCTTCCATCAGTTCAAGCCAGACAGGGATGGTTGGAACTGTAGTCCACCAATGTCAGGAGGGTCACTTGTTCTCTGCTTGTGATCTAACAATTAAAGCTTGCATTGTGTGATAGTCTGAATGAGGGTCAATAAATTGAGGCTTAATCCGGGTAAGATGGCGGTACTATTGGTAGGCCGGTCATCTGTCTTGGTGAGTGATATTTGCCCTGTTCTGGATGGGGTTGCGCTCCCCCTAAGGGTCAGGGTGCACAGTTTGGGAGTGCTCATAGACCCAGAGTTATCTCTGGAGGCCCAGGTGGCTGCTGTGGCAAGGAGCACTTTCCACCAGCTTCGGCAGGTCCATCAACTGCGTTCGTACCTGGACAGGCAAAGCCTAGTGACAGTAATCCATGCTCCTAATTGGTCTATTATTATGCACTCCACATGGGGCTACCCTTGAAAATGGTCAGGATACCTCAGTTGCTACAGAATAGAGCTTACTAGGACTGGCTGATAAGACCACATAACGATCAGCCTTGCTGAAGTCTGGGCCTGATTTAAGGTGTTAACTTTGACATCTGAAGCCCTAAATGACTTAGGGCCTGGATATCGGAAGAAAGCCCTCCTTCCACATATACCTGCTCTGAAAGAGGTTGGCAGAGTGGCTACCTGGGGAAGGGCTTTTGCTTTTTTGGCTGTGGAACCTGCTTCTCAGAGAGGTGCGTCTGGCACTGGCTTATTCCTTCTGGTGCCAGTTCACCCAACATGTTAATGGTTGAATGATTTTAGGATATAACAATTGTTTTTACTGTGTATTTGTATATATTCAAGTTATGCTATCAAATGTACTGTTACAGTTTTGCTTTGTAAGCCATCTTGAGATCTGTCTTGGATATAGACAAGATAAAAATGTTTTAAATAAACAAATAATTAACAAAATTAATGGCATACACCTGACCCCATCAGAGGAGAGAAGTATCTACTGGCATCAAGTTAGACAGATGGGCCTCTTTGTGAAGGCACAGGTGGTTAAACAAGGAAAGGTGTGAGCGTCCTTCCCTCAAAACTGTAAGCCGCTCCGAGGCTTCGGCGAATGGGGCGGCATAAAAATGTTTTAATAAATAAATAAAATAAATAAAACTATGTTTCTCTAATGGGGTTGGCCGGCTGGATGGAAGTCACTGGGCAATTTGAAATATGTCAGTCCTCCTCCTCAGTTTTTCATTTTCATGATTCAGTAATGCAGTTCTGGAAAATGGGGCCAATTTATAGAATCACAAACCCTAGTACTCCTTACATGGAAAAACTATATTTAAATGCTTCATGTAGATTCCTGTAACCGCTTTTCTTAAGTTCCATGGAGGAACTTAGGAATTCCGTTCTGGTCCAACTCGCATCCTCCTTCAGCTGGAGCAGTCAGTTCAATGGAAGGTCCCATGTTGTTTCTGTACCTCTTCTTTCAAATCACATGCACAAATCAACATTAGGATACCACCCTCAAATCAACACGCCTGTGAATTGCCACCCATCACGTTCCAGTTAGTATCCCCTACCTCCTCTTTGGCAATTCGCATGTTGTCTGTGACCTCGGAAAAAACCGTGGGCTTTATGAACAGGCCATGGCCAGCCGCTGCCAGGCCTCCGCACTCCAGCTTGGCACCCTCTTTCTTCCCGCTCTCGATCAGCTCCAGGATCTTGTCAAACTGCTTTTGGTCAATCTGCCACAACGTAAAAAAAAGCAGCAACAGTTTTATGGGCACATCTGTCTGATCAAGTCTGGCATTGCTGTTTCGGGTTCATTCCTGGGGGTGGGGGGGCATTCTGTGAAAGCCAAGCCAGCCAGTCCCAGCTCTGCTACTGTTCCATTGCACGTCTAGTAAACCTTCGAAATTATCTCCATCTTTGTCAATGGAAGCATCCTGGTTTCTCTCTCTGTTTTCCTCTCACAAGGAGCCTGCCCGTTTTCCCTGAGGAGGGAGCAGTTCTGAATGAACAGTGCCAAAGGTGGGGAACCAGCTTTTCTTGGACCCTTCTTTCGAGCAGCCATCGGGATGGTTTCAGGAATGAGCGGAAACACTCGCAGTACCGCTGGACTGTCATCTCAGTCTGCAGCCTCCTCCCACTTTCCCTTTTGCCGACGGCTCGAACATCGGCCACCTTTTTACTCCCCCTCCCACATTCTGATAGTCTTTCTCATCTTGCCTGATGGAGTTTTGGAGAATCTGGAAGCTTGCATGGCATTTTGGGACCTTTGATTTGGCCTAAGCAAAAGCATGACACCGATGTGGATGTTAGCTCTTTTCTTTTTTAAGCCAACATGTTCATTTTGGGCAAGTTAAATGTTTATAGGCTTGCATTTGCCCCATCTACACCATGAACAAGGCCTTTTTGGTTGTTGTACCTACACTGTAGAATTCTCTTCCCCACAAAGCCTTTGGTGGCTTTTTGCACAATTGTACACAATTACATCTTGGATCTTTTTAGTTTCCACTCCATTGTGGTGAGTTTAGTTGCCTTTAGTTGTGAGCTGGGATTTTCATAACTTGAAGAAGTCCAAAATCTCCAATGCCAGCAGGGAATTTAAATGCTTGTAAACCAACTTGTTGGTTTGTCTGGGCCAAAAGGCACAGGAGGGAACTACTCAGGTGCACAACCAAGTTTTACCTGTGGCCCTTGTTCGGTTCTGGCATCAAATGGGTCCCCCACAAGCCGCTTCTTGGCGTACTCCACACTGCGCCTGACGAATTCTGGGTACACTTGCTCCTCCACAAACACCCGCGAGGCAGCTGTGCAGCACTGCCCCTGGTTGAAGAAGACCCCTTGGTGGGCACAGTCTACCGCTAAGTCCACTGGGAGGAGCCCAGAACAGAAGGCAAGAGAGAAAGCCGTTACCATGGGAACCCAAGGCATTGCCATATGCAAGTCAAACCATTCCATTGATCTTTCCAGTTCAGTCCTGACTATATGACTGGAGGAACCCTTCCAGGGCATTGGGAGAACTTACCCCTGAGTAAATGCTCTATTTACTCAAGCACAATAAATCCTTCCATGCTAGCTAGGATGAGAGTTCTAATACAAAAGCTTGTTCCATATATGCAAGTTTTTATGCATTAGCAAGAACTGAGGCCATCTTTGGCTCTGTAATTTAAAATTGCATCCCAAAATGGCGTATCTACCCACTTTTTGTTAGGCTGTTTCCACGTGGCTGGCCTGCCTGGTGCCGTGTGACATTTATTCATCTTCACAGCTAACCAGCAGGACAGTAGACCAGCAAAATCCCATCAGAACCATAATGAAGACACCAAGACAACTACTTCAAGGAAGTTTTTAAAGACTTATAACTGGTAGGACTGCTGGAAATTCAGGTGAAGGGAAATCAGAACTACTTTAATGCTCAGCTTCTTGCAATCCAGAACTTAATAGCAAGTTTGTAATACATTGATCAAAACGCATTACAGGAAGTGAATATTACAAATTACTGTATTGCATTTATAGCCTGTCTTTTCCCCCTCTATGCAAGGAACCTGGGATGGCTTGTATCATCCTATTCCACTCCATTTTATCCTTGCAATGACCATCCTGGGAGGCCAGTTAGCTGAGTGAGTGACTAGCCAAGTCACCATTGATCTTCCTGGCTGAGTGGAGACTAGAACCCGGATCTGCGGGGTCCTCAGTCCACATTGACCACTGCACCACAATGGCTGTCAGGCTTCAACCTGTGGGTGCACTGATTACGAAGTCTCAGCCTGGACCTGAGGCAAGCAAACGCATGCATCCTGCTACTGACTCATGGGACTTTGCCCCCAAGTGGCTCGGTCCAAGGCACATGTGGACTGAGCCACTGGATTTCCTCCCTGATCTCCTGCCCTCCGTCCCCAGACAGCTTCATTTCTGCACAGTCTATTAAAGACTAGCTCCGTTGCAGCGGTCACTGAAATCACAGGCAAAGCACTCACGATCGGCGTCTGCACAGACAATGCAAGGGTTCTTCCCACCGAGCTCTAGCGTCACCCTCTTGAGGTTACTTTTTGAAGCGGCTTCTTTGATTAGCTTTCCAACCTGTGCCGGGAAGAAAACGGCCATTACCAGCTTGGTCCCCTCCAAATGAAATACATGCAGGTCACCTTTATAACCAAGAAGAGGAAGATTTGGTTCCCAAAGATCAGAGCTACCTGCTTAATGAACAGGAGGAGGAGGAGGAGGAAGGGAGCTCCAGCGTTCAATCTGGGGACAGTTGCACTTCATTAGTTTCCACGGGTCCCAAGCTCACAGGACTGGTGACACCCTGGGACCTCAGTGCCTCGACAGGGTTTGCTCTGGTAGTGCCATCTGCCATTTTATTTCCCACAATGCCAAAGCGTCAGTATTGCAGGGGATTGTGGGAAATTAAGATGGGTACTAGACCAAACATATACCCCCTCCCCTCAAGCCTGAAGCTGGCAATGTGACTACATTTTAAGTGTAAGATGTTCAGGTGAACAAGGCCTGTGGTAAACACCCATTTGCCCCATGCACACGATAAAGGTAACATGGATGGGGGAAGATCTCTTTCTTCACCCAAAATGGAGCACATGATGAGAAACACCTAACCATTTTCTTCCTCCTTACCCTTTACTTTTTCCTTGCATGTAATGCCTCGTATGTGCATCTCTCAAGTGCGTGCAAGGACAAGGATTATACTATATATTACACAGTATGTCCTATTACAGAATGCAGGGAAACTGCATGATCCCATATCCACAGCCACACCCTCAAAGAGAGTCCAAAAATTCAGGCTATATTGATCCACTTTCAACAAGCCAGTACTGGCTGGTTTCAGCCCCACAAGGTATTTGCAACATGGATGGAACTTAATTACCACACCAAAGTGCTTTGCATTACAAATGAGCTGACAGTTTTTGAAAGGAAAATTCATTTTCCAGGGGGAGCTGTGAAGATTGTCCTAAGATGCTTTCCCCTGTTTTGCCTCACAGAGGAGGGCAGGATACATTCCAATGGAGCAAAGCTCAGGGAACCAAGGTTCTGTTTGGATGCCAGGAAGCACTTCCTGACAAGACTCCTAGGGTGTGGAATGGGCTTCCACGGGAGGTGGTTGAGGCCCCATCAGTGAGGGTGTTCAAGGACATGGCAGGCATATCGTGAGCGGAGCCAGCTGGAGCCGGGGTCAGACTAGATGGCCCAGGAGACCCCTTCTAACTCACTCTGTTTCTAAGATCAGAGGAAATGGGAATCTTGAGACACAGTGGGGACTGAGAATCTTGGCATATCTTGGATTAAAAAGTGTCTTCACTGCATGGTATGGAAGGCTCTGAAGCTCCACCATAACTCTTATAAAAACCAGGAGCAGACTGCTATGCTCAGCCATCAGGTGGTGCTATTACACGGTGAAATTTCCAGCAGCCCGCTTGTGTGAAGGCATCGGAGAATGACTTCAGGGCTGGCACCACGTTATCCTAATTATGCAAGGTCACACCAAGCATGCAGAGAATGCCACAACAGATGGTGCTGGCAGCCGCACTTGCACCGGCAAGGGTGATTAAGTTCTCAACCACGAGCACCACAAGCATGTGACAGGCGAGGGGGTCTGTGAAGCGGCGTGCTAGTCAAAGCACAGATTCAGCCAAAGGAAATCTTGGGCTGGTTTGCACATCTCTGCCATCACTGGATAACTGCTGTCATCCACATGCAACCGGCATTTGTGAAGGAAGCATGCTGGATCAGATACAAAAAGTTCAGAGGGCTGACATCTTTTTTGGAGACGCTCTTGGGAGCTGCGTGCCAGTGGCGTTGGGCCCAAGGCAACCACCAAAAAGGGGGAAATACCCCCCCCCCCGCCACACATATATGGGTGTGAAGCTCTTGGTGTCAAGAACTGGGCCAGGCACCTCCCGCGTGGTGTCCCTGGGCACCAAAATGCCTGAAGACCCCTCTTGATGCCTTGCCCGGCTCCCATCCCTCTCAGCTTCTAGTTTTATCTCCCACGTCTTTCCATCTGTCAAAAGAATCCTTAAACTGGGAATCTGGAACCCTGCAAAGGGGTGCTTTACAGCACCACCTTTGTCCAGATTCGAAGGTACTGTGGGATCCTGGGTCTCAGCCCTTCTCCTCTGTGTTGCAGGTTGGTTCATTGCCTCTTGCTAGTTTGCCTTCCATTTAGCAATTAGCCACAACACTCACAAAACTTAGATGGGTCCAGTGACCCAAAGATCAGAGACCCCTGACCGAAGCCTTGGGAGAAGCATTTTTGTGGGTGGGCAGAACAGCCAAAAGCCAGGACACCAAATTACGGGTGGGAGTGGGGGAAGAGCAGGACCCTTTGCTGGATTTGGCCCGAGTCTGAAGTTCTGCAGCTGTCTCGCTCCGTCTAACAGGAGGGCCAGCTTTGCTAGGTGTTCCTAGAACCACTAGAATATTCTAGTGGCTATAATCACAGAATATGTTTATGGGAGCCTTGTATTTAGCTCCCTTGGGACAGAAAACACACATTTTTACTTCTTGTTTTTATACACAGAGGGTGTTGGGTACGGGGTTTGAGAAGAGGTGAAAGATTACAAACCATGAACAGTTAATGGCCTACCTCTGTTGATCCTGTAAACGCAATTTTATCAATATTACGATGCGTGCAGAGCGCAGTCCCAGCTGTAGGGCCATATCCAGGCACGATGTTAACCACACCAGGGGGGAAGCCTGCCTGAAATGTGAATTAAATGTTTTACTCAAGATCTGGAATAAGAGTATTTTTCAAACTAACTTTTAAGCCATCAATGGTGCGATTATTAAGACCCATCCCATTGGCTAGGGCTGGCAGTCTGCAATCCTTTCCCAACTTCCCTGGGAATGAAACAAGGGGACTTATCTCCACAGAGGTGTGTATGTGATCATACTGTCAGCTGACAGAATATGCTAGCAGTTTTAAGGAAGTTCAAGCGCTTGACTTTGCAGGTGGCCAAAAGCTTCTTCCGGCTGTCACCCGGGGTAAATACTCATAATTCTCCACACTTGGAAGGAGAAGGCACACAGAGACACAGATGGCCTCCGTGTTCTTGCAACCCATCGAAACACTTGCCCACCTGGCTCCAGCCCCCTCTGTGCTTTGCACCTGCTCACAAGGAGCACAGGCAGAGAGGACAGTGGCCTACCATATGACTGCTCCCCGGATCACCTTCCACAGTGTGGACTCGGAAACCATTCTTGTGAATTTGAGGGGCAGCCATTCCATCAAGAGCCATGCTGGCCCATTGCGAGGCTGAGTCCTAGCTCTGGCTTCAGAACACATTTCCAAAGATGGAACTGAACTCCAACTTTCCTGTGACGGCCTCTAGCAGCCAGAGAGTTGTTCCCTAAGAGACATTCCTCTTTTTCTTGCCTAGGATGGAATGCCTGCACCAGCATGTCAGCTCCCAAGGAGAGGAACTGGACATATTGCTCTATTTTCAGTCCGTATCAATCACTCATGAGTTCATTCACAAATCTGTGTTTCCACATGGCATGCCATTTAACAAGCCTGCACAAACACTTATATACAAGCGTGTAATTAAAGATGAGTTTTGTGAAACAGGGCATTCAAAACTAAGTTGTACATCCCAAAATTCAGAGAAATGCGAAAACTAAAGGATAATGGCACCCCATTCAGCACACTAATCTGGGACTGCATTACATGGCATTTCACAGCAGGATTCCTCAGGCAACCTCAGAAGCGGCATATGCATCACCCAAAAACAAAAGGACACTCTTTATTTTTATTTATTGATTTATAACATTTCAATGTCGCACCCATCGCAGAAGCCTCGGGGCGGCTCACAAAGAGAATACATAAACAAAGAATAGAATAACATTAAAAATTTGGAGTATCTCGGCCATAATTTAAACCACTAAATAAAACAACCAATTAACAATTAAAATATCGTTTAAATAAAAAGGTCTTGGCCTGGTGCCGAAAAACAAGTAACGATGGCGCCAGGCGGACCTCTCTGGGGAGTGCATTCCATAGGTGGGGCGCCTGAAGAATGCAACACATTTGTTTTGTTCTTGCAGTTATATGAGCTTACCCAGTTCCACCTCCTGGACCCAAAAGCATTTTGCCACCAGAAGTGTGCATAATTATCAGCTTCTGATTGGATATGCACACATTATGTTCAAAGCATACATACATTTGAAAAAGTACCTTAAAAAGTACAGACTTGAAAATGCCCAGAAATATGCTTTGATAGGTGAAAAATGAGTTATCTTCAGTACTAGGAATTTAGCTGTGCACATTTGGAAAGATGCTTCACATGCACATACAAATTTCCATGTGAGAAAAATAAAGTCCATCACTGGGTAGACAGCAGAGTCAGAATGACTTTTGAGGTGGGGATCAGAGAAACTTGACAAGCTTGAATTTTGCTGGTTTGTACATCTTGCTTGAAAAGCATTGGTTTTACCAATAGCATTGATTCAAAATCATGATCAACTAAAATGTCTGTGATTGCATCCTTACCTTTCCTCTAAGGAGCTGAAAGTAACATTTTATCCCAAATTAAATCCATGAGTAAACTCATATACGCTCGCTGGACTGGTTTCTACAGTTACTTACCTCCTTGACCAAAGACCCGATGTATAATGACGTGAGGGGAGTTTGCTCAGCAGGTTTAATGACTAACGTGTTCCCACAACACAGAGCTGGTGCCATTTTCCAGATCAGCATAAGCAATGGGAAATTCCACTGAAACAAAAGATAAGGAGATTCAGGATGTAAGTAGGGCATTACTAACATTTTGAGAAACTTCTGCTAGAGTTTTAGAAGCCCAGAAACCTGCAGTAGTTGGAGAAATACGCCATCATCACTGCTTCCAAACTCTAATCAACCAACACTGGTTGTTTCTGCTACATGGCCCAACTGAGTCTGCCTCATTCTCTGGTTTGCTAACTAAGGATTAGGATGTCAGAACTGTGGGTTGCATTTAAGAGCACAGTTCTCTGCATGAAAGGCACAGGGTAGAGGGAGGCATGTTTCTCCCTCTCCCAGAACACTCCATCCCAAAGGGGTGAGCCCATGAAGCTGGTTGATGGGCGGTTTAGGGCAGATAAAAGAGAGTCCTTCTTCATACAGCGTATCGTCAAACTATGGAACTCGCTGCCACGGGATGTGGTGATGCTGCCACTCTGGGTGGCTTTAAAAGGGGAGTGGCCAGATTCACGGGGGAGGAGGTGATCTGTGGCTACTAGCCACGCAGGCGTGCTCCCTCCGTCCCTGGCAGCGGCAGGCCCGCAGGCACCGGCTGCTGAGGAGCTGGGCGGGAGGAGGTCTTGCCCCAACCTGCTGGAGGGGCCCAGTGGGCAGCTGGTTTGCCCCTGTGTGTATGGAGTGCTGGACCAGATGGACCTTGGGTCTGATCCAACGGGGCTGTTCTTATGTCCTTTTGTCCCTTTCCTTTGTGTTGTAATACTTTGTTCTGTCCTTAGGTGTCACTGTAGTGCTGCTTGCTTCAGAATCGATAGTGATCATGAGCAGCCAAAAGAGCATCTACCACCAGGGAACCACCAAGAACAAATATGTGCATTGAGAACATAAGATCACAGAAAAGCCATTCTTCAAATCCTTATCTCAGAAGGGCAGGCAGTTCTTTCCAGCTCTGTGGGGCCAAAGTGCACATACACAGAAAGAAAACTATGAGTAGCAGGAAATGGCAACTATGTGAAAGGACCGTGTGGGCAGCATTGGACTGCTCCTGAAAACAAACTTCCTGCTCAAGCAGTGCTTGCCGCAAACAACATTGCCTGGATAAATTCATCTGGGGTTATGAATGCAGAAGCTCCTTCACCGAGGAGGAATCCTGGACACACGTTCATCATCACTGATCTTTCAAAGACACTGCTCTGAAGTCCCTGCAGGAATAGGAGTTGCTTGTGTAAGATCCAAAGCCAACCCCTGCCTTCTCAGCTCCAAAGATCCCAGGACTGGGAACTACCTGGCCCTGCCTGTTCGAATACAGCGTGTGGATCCTGGCGAGCTGGGCCGCTGGTAGCTCCTTGTAACCCTTTTAACAGGCCAAAAGCAAACAACCGATTTAATTGCAGTCGAGCTCCCAGTCCACCCAGATAAGTGATACATTCCTGTTTTCCGAGAGACATCTGATGTCAAACCTAGTCTAGTCTACCACGAAGCTGGCCATATCCCAGCATGGTAACAAAATATCCCAAAGTGGTATTTTATTCCAACAGCTGTGTAAACATTCTCAGCCTAGTTACAAACATCTTTTGCCAATGAAAATACCTGCTGTAAATTAAGTAGACTTAATTGCTAGCGGCAATCTTCCCCTGCAGCGTAATCAGCGGAACAGGCCATGATATGTGGGGATTAAGCATTATGTTAAGTAAGCTACAGAGCAGCGCCCCAGCCCCAGCGAAGTCCCCGCTGCTGTGCAGCGAGCTGGGAGTTTTGCTGATGTGGAAAGAGCAGCTCATCTCCTTCCAGCACAGGGCGCCTTCTAACGCTGCCTGCCTCTCCGAACACGGCAGATTCTCCCTCACAGAAGGCAGGCGTACAGACACGGTGCACGCACTCCTCCCCACCCGGCACTGCATACCAGAGATGTGGGGGTTGCTGGGTGTGCACGACCCACATTTCTGCTAGCAGGGAACAATTGACAGTAGCCACTCAACCACCCCAATAATGTCCTGCTCTGCTTTCATTGAGGCTCAACAAAGCGAATGCCACGATCTCAGTCCCTTTAAAGGAAAGCACATTCCATTTAGACCATTAAAGGCCTTTAATAGGCTAATCAAATTGCAGCCAGGGCAAAAGCATTTGAGACCTCTTCATCAGGAAGGAAGCGATGAAAAGCAGGGCTTGGCTGGGTGTGGCAAAGAGAGGGGGGACTCCGACTCAAGGGTGAAGGCACAGGACTGTCTCCTCAGCCTTCTCCAACTTGATGCCATCCAGATGTTTTGGACTACCACTCCAAGCATCAAGAACTTTGGCTATGCAGATACGTTGGACTATAACTCCCAACAGCCTGAGAGGGTATAGCCAACCACTGGACCCTGGTCAGAGAAAGCTACAGTTCTTCCACCCCCTCAAATAAATGGTGAGCTTCAGTGTTCCCAGAGACACCAGATGTCAAACCCAGACTGCCCGAGCCCCTTGCACCTCTGCAACTTGGCTTCCTGAAGCACTCTTGCTGCAGCTTGGAACGTGGAAACATTAACCCCAGCCTCGCGAACAGGACCCAAGATTCTGCATTGGTGCAGTGCTATGACCACCATTCAGGAATTTTCACTTTTAAAAAGTCTCAAGCCCAGAATTCTGTAGTCTGCGCAAAGGGTAGATGCAGAGGGTGCCTGGCCTGAGCAATTTCTTGGGGAAAGAAGCAGCTGCAGGAAAAAGATAGTGCATGAGACCCTCTAGGCGGTAGCCACGATCCGCAGAGGAACGAAAATGCTAGCGTGATACTCACTGGTGTGATGGCTCCGCATACTCCCACTGGCTCATGTCTGGTGAAGCAGACATAGTTTTCATCTGCAAGAGATTTCAGAACACCACCCGTTATCTCCCCAGCACCATTTTGACATAAGTCACCTAATGGGTGGCTGGGAATCCTTTACGCATGCATTACATTAGCATCACACATTTAGATCCTGCCTTGGCTTCTTGCAAGGGACCCATGGGGACACGTGTGACCCTACTCTTCCTCCTCCTCCATTCTGTCCCTGCAACCACCACCCTGTGAGGTAGGCTGCACTGAGAGTCAGCGTCAAGCCCAAAGACCCCACAGTGGGCCTCACGGCCAAGAGGGGATGAGAACCTGGGTCTTTTGAGCCCCAGTTCAGCACACTAAAGCCCTGCTGGAGCACACCACAGGTCCACCTGGTTCAGCAGCCACACAGTGGCCAACGAGCTGCCCACAGGATTCTTCCGGAGGATGGGTGCAAGTCCTCCTCCTGCCCAAGCCCTTCAGTAGCTGCTGCATGCAGCAAAGCTGCCTCTGGTAACAGAGGTGGCCCACAAGGCTAGTAGCCATGGGTAGCCTTTTCCTCTCCTCCCCTTTCAAACCCATAGTGATTAGTGGCCATCACTACCTCCTGCAGAAGAGAATGCTCATATTTAACTATGTGTTGTGTGAAGTAGTAATTCATTTTATCTGTTCTGAATCTCCTGCCAATCAGCTTCATGGAATGACCCTGTTGGGCTCAAGTATTATGGGAGAGGAAGCAAATTGTGTCCCTCACGTCTTTCTTTATTCAACCTTTTTCTAAGCAAAACACTCCATGTACTGGTAGCTATTCCTCATAGGCATATCCCTCCAGTCCCCGGCTCATTTTTGTTGTCATTCTCCACACTTTTTCCAACTCAATGTTCTTTTTCAAATGTGGTGACCAAACTGTACATAATATTCCAAATGTAGTGGCACCAGCAATTTGCATAAGGGGAGAACAATCTGGGCAGCTCAAGAGAGGTTTGCATAGGGGCAGGGGAGAACCTCAAAACAGGCGTTGAACATAAAACTTCAGAATGGCACAACTTCAGTGTTTTGGCTCATTAAGCACACGTGTCATGCATGCAAGACCCTGAGAACTAGAAGCGTAACATGAAAGTGTTGCTTAATATGCTAATCAGAATCCATAGACGTCACAAAAGCCCGTCACTGCTCATTGGCTGCATGACTTGCCAGTAAAATACAAGTTCTGTTCCAAAGTTTGGTGCTCCCAGATTTATTTGGGAGAGGGAAACTATGACAACTGATGCAATACAGGGACATTAAGACCATCACATTTTGTCTTACCTGCAGCTTGGTGAATTACTGAACTGTGTGGCCTTTCTAACATGAGGTGCCCTTATTCTTTCTCTGGCTTTAAGGAAATACTCCTGGCTGGCAACAATTACTCTGCGGAGGGGAGATTTTCCAGCCTTACCTAGAGATGTTAGGGACTGAACCATCTGCATGCCAAGCAACCCTTTCTCTCTTGGGATAGACAGGAGAACACCGAGAAGCGACGGGATGTCTGCGGCTCAGTTCAGGCCTCAATTGTTTCCCTCCACCACATTGGTTTCCAGTTAATTCCATTTGCCAGACCTGAGAAACTCAACACACAGAACAACAGCTCCAGCTCCAGCTTACCCACAGGTATAGTCTTCCCTTGGATTTTATCAGCCCACCCAGCGTAGTATCTAAGCGTCTTAATGCAGCCTTCCAAGTCGATGAAGAACGCTTGGAGAAATGGTTTTCCTGTGTCCATAGTTTCCAAAGTCTGAAAAAAACCAAAAACTTTGCATTTTGTTTCTTAGATGTTCTATCTTCTGTTGGTGAGATATTCCTCCAGTTCTAATCCCTACCAGGAAGTGGACAGACTAGATGGCTACCACTGAAGGGCAAGTCAAGGAAACTCTCAACAGTCAGACTCATTATATCTTGTCTGGCGTGGACGATATGCCAACCCTTCTCAATAAAGTAGCACTGTATGTAGCACTCATCACTAACAAATTCCAGCCAGCTGAAATCGGCAAAGACTAGACACCTACTCCCGCTCTTGCCAATCTCATCCCCTCTTCAACAGTAGATGTTGACCACTGACCTGCGCAAGCAATGCAGAAAGTTGTAATCGCAGAGCCTGCTTATTCTCTGGAGCAGCACCACAAGCTTTGGTCGATTTGCTCTTCCTCCGAGCCCAAGCAGCACGCCCAGGTCGCATCTGGCCTGTGCTTCCCACCCACACCAGCCAACGCCACTTACTGCCAGCACCACTCTGTCTCGTTCAATGAGGTCAGCCAGGTCATTCAAGAGTCTTCCTCGGCTCACAGCATCCATCTGTCTCCATGGAGATCCCCTCTGGAAGGCTGCTTTTGCTGCCTCCACCGCCTTGTCCACATCAGACTACAAGATGAAAAACAAACCACCCAAAAAGAGGAATACAAAGGACAATTCAACGATCTTTCGCATTGCAAGGGAACAGATGAGTGAAATGTTGGCTGTGTCGGTGGCATCATTGGATCGCATTGTATGATATAGCTGTGACTTTATTCTAGCAGCGGTCACCTGTGCACCTCCAGATGTTTTGGCCTACAATGCCATGATCCCTCAGCCATTGGCTATGCAGGGCAGGGCTTGCCCACCTGGTGTTAGAGCCAGGTTGTTAACACTGTCAGAGTATTGCAGCCTATGCTGGCTCAGGATCATGGGAGTTGTAGTCCAACTCATTGAGCAAGCACCAGTTTTGGAAAGTGGGCATACTGTCTTTTGTATGGGTCATTAGTCAGCCTGGGCTGTTTCTAAGGAAGAGCAGGATGTAAATCCAGCAAATAAATAAAATAATGTGCACAGGCATCTCCTACAGTTGAATTCTAAATTCATTTGCAAAAGGCTGAACCTTATTGAAGGTAAACAGGAATGAGAGCTTTTCTCTTTTGTCCTTTTCCAGATGACCCCAGACAGCTAACAAGACAAATTGCTAAATCTAATAATAATTAATAAAATTAGCTTTAAAAAGCAAATGAATCGCTGATGAGGCAGAGCCACAAATTAAAAATGCAAGCATTGACAGTATCAAAGGCAGTGCGGAAGAATCACTGATATTGTTGCATTGGTAAGAGCCACTGAATGCACAAGAGGATGGAATGGTCTTCACCGGGTGTTTGTCTGGAGGATTTCAAAATGGCACCAGGAAAAGACATTTGTGGGTCCGAGTAGGGCCAAATGAAGGCTGCCCAACAGGGAGAAGGGATTTGGCCAAATATTCAAGCAGGGAAGAGGGATGAAAAAAAAAATCTTATGTCAAGGGAAGAGAACTGGATGGAGGAGCCAAACGTCCTTGAACAATATTAAAACCTTTGGGGATAGCTCCAGAGTTGGACTCACTTTTTTCCATTCACACCCCTCACCTTCCTCTCCAGTTTGATCCATGTTAATTTGTCCTATTTCATTTCTTGTCACGAGCCCCAGAACTTTCTCTCCAAAATGATTCCATTCAATCCCTGCTTCATATAATCTACAGATTTTGCCAGTCCTTCCGGAAAGTCTATTTCTTCTTCATTCCTATGTACACTCTTAACATCTGTGCCAGCTTTTCATTAACTGCAGCCTTCTGTCCTACCAATCAGTGGAGAAATGAGGGAGGCACTTCACTGAATATTCTTGCGGCAGGCATGCAAAATTCTCCAGCAGTTTTCAGGGTCAGGGGAAAGGCTACCTTCCAAGTAAGGACATTCAAAGAACTGTGTCTCCCCGCCGCTCTGCATAAGACATTTCGGTCCAGCTTGACTTAAGGCCCTACTCAAGTTCCTTTTTCTATACTCCACCTGGTGTGTCAATTGGAAGCAAGTCATCCTGCCTAGATGTTTCTTAGTTTGGGGCAAGGATATGTACCCCTCACACAATTTTCTTGCTATTTTGGAAGAGCACATCAGGTTGCCCTTTTTCAACAGGCTCCCTCTGGATGTGTTGGACTACAGCTCCCAGCATCCCCAGCCAGCAATGGCTAGGGTGGCAAAGACAGAGCAAGAGCCCTGCTGGGTGAGACCGGTTGTCCTTCCGCACTAGGGCAGCCCAGGGGGACCACAAGCGGGATTAGTGCAACAGGCCTTACCTCCCATGGTCCCCAAGGAACTGATGTACATCGGAATACTGCCTCTGCTACTGGATATGATGGGTGCTGCTCATCCAGAGGGCACCCAGGTGAGGATTGCAACAGGTGAACTGCTGGATTTTGCCTTGGCTGCATCCTTGCACTCCACTCAAAACCATGGGGTTCCCTCACCAGGCACAACAAAACCCACCAGGTTTCCATCCACAGGCAGATGACACCACTAGCCATCTCGACACGAGGGACAGCAAAACCAGCTTTCAACTGCAAGTTGGTTTTGCTTTGTTTTTACTAGCAAACTTGCATCTTTCATAAAAAGCCAAGGCGGTGGCAAGAACATATCCCGTGTATGCTTCTCTGGAAAGAAGCTTTACTGAACACAGTGTGCAGGCAACACAAAAACCCACACTCAGGGTTTGAGTGTTGGCTGCCGTTGAACTGTGGGTGGGCATATTGTCTGATCCTGGCCACAGTAACAAGCCATGTCTTGTTGACTGTGAACAACTCAGGAAGAGAACCCATGTTTTGTGGTTGGGTTGTGAGCTGTGGTTTGATAACATGGTTGAGTTCCAACAACAGATAACCAGCAATAGCCATGAAGCACCGTACCCAAGCTGGGCTTCGGCTCAAACTTTAAAGGGGCTCTCCATGGTGCTGAACCTATTTTGGGACTACGATCACTCCATGAAATTTCAGATGACAGCCTGAAGTGGATAGAGTTGGATCACAGACACTGGAAGTGCCCATTTCCACTGACAATAACCTATGCTTCCAAAGCGGGCCAAGATTAAACAACAGCCCCCATTCCACCTTGAAGTGTGGATGCCAGACACTGAACTCAGCCAGTGGGACCTTCTCCCAAGTACAAAAAACAGCTTGACACTGCTCATGGAACCACACATTTGAGTTCCGACCCAAAGTTGCATCAAATGCATATATATTCATCTACACTTACAGCAAACTCATTCTCCAAGTGCCCTCTTTACATAGCCAAGGGAGCCCCACCAGGCTTTGCTGAACCCCAAAGATCTACAGATGCAAAACAAACAATATAGGGAGGACTGAAGGGAGAGCATCTGTTGCGAAGCGGAATGCAATATCCTGGAAAGGACACACCTGGCTGGAACACTGAACAGAAACTGATCACAGGCAAGATTCTCTCTTGGTGTCCAGTTGGACTCGAAGGGGTGGGGAGCATTGCTCTGCAGTGTTTCAGAGCAGGTGCCATCTCAGCAGAGGCACTGAGAAGTGTGGGGCACCTGCTACTCAGTCCTGATAAGCACTTGCAAAATTTTTATTATCTCATTCCAGAAAAGAAACGCTTTCTGCCAACAGTCTTCAGCTGGTCCAGAAAATGCCCCCGATAAAACAGAGCTCCTAAGGGCCGGGCGGCATGGCAAGGCACCTGGGCTGGCCTTTTTGTTGGCCTGCTGTTCAGGGGCGCTTACGTAGACTGCTGCTATTTCCAAGGAAAGGACCAGTTCATAAATGTATTCTGCCATCTGGATCAGGACTCTGCCCCAACAGCTAGCCAAAGCTCTCCCCCTCCCCGGACACCAAGGCTATCGCAAGCGGCACCTCTTGGAGGCAAACAACAGTTGTGTCCGGACTTGCTTTTGGCTGAAAAGTGTGCCCGGCCTGATCCACTCAGGAGCTGAGTTACAGCCCACCAGAGGCTTCTTCATCAAAGTAAGATGGGCCAATTTACATGGCAGTTTAGAAGCATAGAAGGCTGTGGGCCAAATCCAGCTCCTGGATCTTCCCAGAATGCCATGCCCCCTCTTTCTGACCACCAATCACTTGGCAGTTTCTCAGCTTTTGTACAGTTTCCCAGTTCTAGATGCTGGACATGCTTCCTTGAAGGGTCAGCTCCCAGCAGAAGGGTTTTAAGCACTGTTCATCCTGATGCCTTCCCCCAAAGCAAGTAAACAATGAGGCAATGCCGTGCCTGGAGCTCACCTTGGAAATACCCAGGGTCTTCAAGAATCAGCAGCATGAGCAGCTGGCTCACGAACACCACACCAATCCCACTGAAGGATAAGCGAGCGGAGGCAGGCTGGGGGCCGGCAGCATCAGCCACCATGATGCCTGGCCACCAGCTGGCATCCACCACCACACCAGCCAGCAGAGCAGGTCCAAGACATTTTGTGCCCCACCTTGCATTCCAAGGATCATCCAAACGTGCTAAATCCTCATTTAGTTCATTAAAGTTCCTTTAATCAGCAGCACCACACCCTTCCCCAGAACATGCCTCCCTCCCTGACTGTCAGGACCAGTCATTGGCTCCCACCTTTTTATATCTTGCTCCCTGGAGAAGGATCCTTAACTTGCCCCAGTTTCCCTGTCCCAGGAAGAGAGATGCCACCATTTCAGGTTGAACTGGGCACAGCCAAATCAAGCATAAATAAATGTGTCCTTCCAAGTACATTTGAGGAGGTAAGCCAAGGTTCGGGAGTGTCTAGGCTTCACTGCATTTCTGTGATCGTCTCCCCCATCCCTTGTGTTCCTATCAGAAACCAGACTAAGAAAAAAACAGACCTTGTCCCCTTCTTCAACATCACAGATCTTCTCGGCCTTTGAAGGACTGAAGGTAGGAAACTTCTTTCCACTCTTTGACTCATGCCATTCATTGTTAATAAATATCTGAAATGAGAGAGGGAGAAGGTATATGCACTAGGAGAAGAATGGAGAAGTGACATTCTTCCTGGCCTGCTTGCTTTCTACATGTAGGGAGAGTCCTTCTGTACTCAGCAACATTCCTTCATGTGCGCTCCAGGCTGGCTACTTGTCTATGTGCAGGGATTGTGTGCATGTTGAGCATTCCTTCAGGTGCAGTTCTAGATGCAGATCTATAATCATGGGGAGAACTGGACTAAGGCTATAATTCCATACATGCTTACTCAGCACATACTTCTGAACAAACATCCTTCATAGTGTAGATGCTTAGAAGCATATTGGGCCAAAATATTGAATTTTCAGCTGCATATTGCAGTGAGAAGTTGCATGAATAAGAAACTCCCTCGGATGATGCATATTCTTGCAGCCTGGATGGAGAAAGCAAGTTGCATGGAAATCTAGGGGCCGGAATGTAGAGTTATACAATGATAGGTTTAAATGCACATTTGTATCTTTATGTTGCTCCTGGTTTTCAAGTGGTTTTATATGGTAGTTAAGAATGTGAACAAATTTTATATCAGCTTTTATCATGCTGTATTTTATGTTTTTAACTGTTGCAAACCACCACAGAAATGTGGCCATCAGGCAGTGCAGAAATGTAAGCAAAAATGTCTTAGAAAAGACCAACTAATACTTGGGTTCTTTAGTTGTAAACCAAACCATCCTGAAAACCTTTGTTATGTAATTTGGACAGATCTCATCAGTAATGCATTAAATATATTTTTGAATTGCCTCTCTACTCCCAGGGGTTTGAGGAAATTTGCAAGAAAGCCATAGAACACAAAAAGCAGAACTGATAGAAGAGGGCAACTCAAACACAAACCTTTCAATAGAAGAGAAGCAGCCTTTGAAAACACATCGCTTGTAACAGCAGCTGGAGGCCCCAAAAAAGCTGCCACACTAAACTTGGAGGAAAGTGGGCTGCAACTGCGGGGCTGCTACATAAGGGGCCCTGTCTTAGGACTCTACCACTCCCCATAGGTGGAAATTTCCACTCTTCCGGGGGGGTGGGCGCTGCCTCCCGTAGAAGCCCAGTCCTTTTAGGCAGGGGGCTCCTTTTTCCATTGCCACACCATCAAATTTCAACAGCTAGTTTTAAAATTTAAAACAGGGCTTTTTTCCTGCATGCCAGCATCGTGCACGGGGGGGGGGGAATCAGGAAGGAAGCAAACACGTTCAGAATGTCATATAAAAGCGTTTCAGACACAACAGAAGGGAGTCTAAGAAGAAAAGCCTGGATATGATCACAAACTCTTTGAAAGAGGGTCCAGCTTACTGGCAGCAGCACTCGGCGCTGATTGAGATCGCTAACTCACGAGACGCGATCTTGGGGCCCAGCCCACAATGCACCTTGGCCCCAGAAACTGGAGGCACATGTGCGACCAAGAGCTGGGGCAAGGCACAGCAGAGCTGCTCCCAGCCGGACCACATCTCACCCCATGCAGGTCGGGAGTGGAAGCGGGTAGGGCACCGACAGGAATCAGCCCAGGCAGATGGCATCTCTCCCAGGCACTTTCCTGTCCTCAGGAAGGTCATAGCCTGCGTGGTTTTTTTTTTTCATGCCTGCCACAGGTGGGGACTCTGAAGAGGCCTGTGGCCCCAGGCTGCACATGGGCACAACGATGGTCCCAGAGCAGAAGGCTGGCTTTGCCTCGTGCCCAGCACAATGCAGGGCTCGCCCCGATTACCTGGGGAGCCACCCAAAGGCAGAACATGACCTTTTCAGTGCCGGGGAAAAGGTGAACTGCTCATGGGAGCTTCTGCCTCAGATGCTGAGATACCTTGCTGGGCCCTGGGTGCTAGACTGCCCCTTGAATTGGAGGGGGGGGGCAACATCATTTGCTGCACCCCTTCATGCAGCACAATGTAGTCCTGATATGTACTTAAGTTTGCAGGGGGAGCGGGACTATGCCTAACTTTAAAAATAAGTGGCTTAAAAAATGGAAATGCTAGTACCAATCTTTTCAGGGGCAGCTACTCAAACCACCATTATTTCAATTCTATACTGCCCATTAATCAGGACAACTTTCTGGGCAGTTTACATGTTCAAAGTATGCAAAAACCAATACAATAAAATCAAAGATAAAAGATATCAATATAAAAACAATGCAACACTGGACCCATAATGAACAACAGTAAAGTTCAAATTAATCCAAGGTACAACAGTGGCAAAATACAGTAACAAGGAGACAAAACAGAAACACTTTTAAAAGAAATAAAATTATTAACTGTTAAAATATTGAGTGTTAACAGCAATTCAAGCGAGGACAACCAAATTAACTTTTAAGACATGCTACAAACTAAAGTCCTCATCCACAGATGTTTGCATGGATGTTTTGCAGAGCGAGGCTGTGTCATCCAGAAGCTAGTGGGTACAGCCTTTCCCTGCATCAAACCCGTTTTCCTGTGCCTGCTGGCATTCTCTCCTCTTGTTCCTTCAAACTGTCTGCAGAGATCTCCACTTTTCCCTTTTCTGCCAGAACTCACTGAAGCCTAATGATTTTAACCGTACTCAGCTTGCCGAATTGTATGATGCAGCATTCTCAGGTGCAGGTCTCTTTCCTTTTCACTCCCTTCCAAGAAATTGGCCCTTTGGTCACAATGTACAGAACTCCAAGGCCAGGGCCTGCAGGAGTTTCAGATGTGAGGAGGCACTTTTAATCTTACACTTCAGAATATTCATTAACAGTTAGTTTATTAGATTTAAGCACCATGGAGATACTGGGGTGGGGAAGAGGTTGCCCTAGGCACTCAAAGGACCTGAGTCTTTCACCTTGCACTTTGAAATACTTCTCCTCATCAAGTCCACTGTGGCTTTACCAGGAATCAGAAGATCTTTTTTTTTTCTGGTGAGAAAGCAAAGTATTTGACAACTGTTTCCTTGTTTTTTTTTTTAAAAAAAACTAGGATACATTCAGATAAGATGAATGTCTCTCAAATTCCGAATGTAAAACCAACAGCAACAAGCAAACACAAGATCAAGTACTGGTCGGAAAACACCACTCTGTTTCAAGAAGTAGAAACTGCGAGTGTGAGCTGCAGAGAAAGCAAATACTCAGTTTTACGTCAATTCCTGATTCCTGTGCACCACCCTGAGAGGTTTGGCTATTGAGTGGTACAGAAATTAAATAAAGAAATGAACAGACTGCAGGAAAACATTGGATTTGGAAGATCAGAAAGCTTCAGTCCTATTATGCTTCCCTTGAAGTTTTTAAACTCCCTGGGAGTCTGGTCTTATTCCTAAACAAACATGAATAAAAGTATTGCACAGGTTATTAAAACTGTAACCCTAGGCATACTTTCTAGGAACTGGAATACCAGTAGGCCTGGTCCTTCCAATTCATATTTTAGATCGTACTGTGAGCCTGCTGTTACACAGAACGAAAAGCAACCGATTCAAACCACCCTATTTAATGCCTTTTTCTTCCAGAGAATTTGGAAACAGTTATACTGCCTTGAACAAACCCAAAGGGGAGAAAACGCCACAAGGTGACCCTCTTAAAAGGAGTCACAACACTGTACATTTGAACTAATGTATGTCCAGCCAATCTGAACAAAAATTGGCCAGCTGATGGTTTTCACTGCCCCCTCCCCAAAAAATTCACTCACACAATTCCTTATAAGGTAAGGGTGAGGCAAACCCATCAGATTTCTCAGTTTCAACTGATTTTCAATTTGCACACACATTCCCAACTTCTTAAGAATTTAAAAAGATCCATTCAAATGGCTAAAAAAAAAAAAAAATAGTGACCAAAATAATTTTACTGGTAAGTAATTGTGCAAAGCTGATTCTAACCAACAGTCATTTTCCTTTCAGCACCGAGTTCAGTGAGGTCAAGTGGATGATAGAGAACAATCTAACTATACCAAATGTGTTTGGTGAAAGCGGAAGCAGAATTCCAAACACTTGCCTTTCATTTTAGTGGGAAGCAGCAGCGATTAAAAAAAAAACAACAAAATTTGAGTAAAGAAGCATCTAATGGAGAATTTTGGATCAGGCTTGGTAGCTTAGGGTGAATTTGCCCAGCTCTGCGCATAGTTACTCAAAGCGCAAGCACCATTAAGTCCAATGGGACTTACTGGCAAGAGGCAGGACTGCGGCCTAACCGACACTGCATGCCTTATGACTGCCACAAAGACAATCCACAGGACCTGGGTGAGTACTTGGCCTAATCTTTCATCAGAGACAACCCGTGTCCTCAAGTTCTAAAGCTGACGCTGCAGCCACGCCAACTCCAGCGACTTAATTCAGGAAGATAGAATTGAAGGACACAGCGCACTGCTGGATGCCAAAAAGACCCCGCACTCAGGAGCACATGATTAAAAATGCACAACATTGAATAGTCGAGTTTACAATCACTCGAGTCCGCATATTCCTTAATGGCCCCCGTCTCCTAAGGACACCTATTTGTAAAAAGGGAAATCTGGATGAGACCGAGGAAGGCGTTTGTCTTCAGGAAAAACCTCAGGCTGAAATTAAGGCAAGGACAGCAAGAAGGGGAGCACATGTGCGCAAAGCCAGTTCGGCCAAGGGGACGGTATGCAACAAGTATTGCCAGAGCCCCTGAACCTTTCTTTTGGCAAGTGCCCATGGGCAGCAGTGAGGTGGTGCAGAGGGTCTCCCAGAGCAGAATCGGGGCCCCAGCTCAGCAGGCCACCCCATAACACCAACCCAGAACAACACCAAACTACAGCAGCCTGTTCCACGCATTCCCAGGGCACAAGTCACATTGTGTTCCGCCACCATGGAGATGGCTCATGTAGTTCTGAACATCTGTTCACATCCTCTCTTTCCTCCAATTATGCCCTTCATTTAAACATCTTACTTTATAATAACCAGGTTAATGAGTACCTAAAAACATTTTTTCTTGGATATTACCACAATTTTGAATGTGTGCAGGAGTCACTTCTTGGTTTTGAGAAGCACAGCAGTTTAGAAGGAGCCAGTATGAGTAGTAAGAATGTTAGATTCCATGTTTTGGTAAAAATAATGTCTATCCCCACTCTTCTATTTGCTATTAATCCTCAGCTCCTTGAATTGTGATCAAGCTTTATGCACAGATGAAGCTATGCTGCTAATCAGCATCAGGTCTGCAACCCAGAGAGCCCCCAAGGCCCTGTCTCTGTTTAAACAGCAGATCTGCTGGCTCAGTTCACCAGAACTGATTTTTAAAAATTTAAAGATGGGCTTTCCTTCTAGCTGTTTGGGATGCTGCAAGTAATTTCACGGGGGGGGGGGGGATGACCTCTCTTGTTGAAAACTGTTACTTCTAGTGCTGGGAATTCTCAGCTACAATTGAATACACCATATTAAGAACTGTAGCTCAGTTAACAAATGTTATTATACATGTTTCTCTAATAAAGTGATAAAGTTGACTGAAATGGATTAGTTCATCCATAGAAGTGAAAGTTTCTTTTTAAAAAATACACTAAGTAGTTCTTACAGGCAAAACTCTAGATCTCTGAAATCTGGGCTCTCCAGATGAATCATGTGTTATAGCTTGTTTAGCACAACTTAAATCCAGCCCTAGTCAGAAATCTCTCTTTCCCTCTCGCACGCACACTTTTACTTCCCAGTTCTGTATTAGTTTTCTGATGCATTCAAATGCTCATTCCCTGTGCTGCCAATACAGGTTATTGTTTTCAAATGCATCCTGAAAACTACTGACTGGTAGAATTTTTTTTTTTTAAACTAGAAAGATGTAGAGCAAGAAAAACACACTCAGTTATCCAAAGCAGAAAAGTAACTTCATTATACTATACATGCATAGTATAGCATACTATTTTGTTTTCTTTATTAGATTCAGACATTATTTTCCACTGGGACAGTATTTTACAATGTTACTCTAACCCCTACTTGGACAAGACATTCTGATCATCAGTCAAGGCAAAAGAACTGGTCCAAACTTCAGCGTGGAATTTTAGTACAGGATTGCAAGTATGTCCCTGATTTTTCCCCCTCTGGTTTTTTAAAACTAGTTCTGTGCATTTGGAAAAATTGCAACCTGCCAAATAAGTTGGCCCAAAGTAACTATCACACTATTTTAATTCTCTCCTCCTAAATTGCTGGAGGGGAACAATTGCTGCTGTTAATTTAACAGACACATTTCCAATTAAAGAAGCACAACTGGAAGGATTAAAAAAAAATCCACCACAGACTAAAATGTTAATCTTGATTTGTCGTATGCCATTTTTTTTGTATTTTACTAAGAAGTGTACAGCTATATGCAAGACTCTGAGAAACAACCTTTCCTCAGAGAGCAGGACCAGAGCAGGTCATGTCCTTATAGTTAGTGTTGCAATGCCTCCAAACTTAATTGCTTACCAGAGAAAGCAATCTTTCTCCTCTTCCCTTGGCTATCAGACAAATTTCCAAGAAATCCATTTAAGAAATAAAGTATAAGGAGAGATGAGCAGCTTTCTGACTGCCTAGTGCCAGTTCCTAGCTAGCATTCCTGCTCAATTATATTGAGCCTTCTCAAAGATATTGAGAAAGAGGGTATTGCCTTCTCATTCTTCCTCGGCTCTCAGCTTTACTGGTGTGCAGCCAATCAGAAATATGGATATGACTGTCACAGTGAACCATCTTACAGTAGCCTTGGACGAATGACCAGGATGCTACAAGCACTGCACTTCGAACACTCGCAGGACAGGCTCAATATGTTCGCTGATGTGCGGGAAGGGGCGCAAGTGCAGGGAAAGGCGGCTTAAAGGGAGACCAGGCAGCCTGAGGAGCAAGTTGGCAGCTCCCTTGCGCCACCCCCAGCCCTTCCTCCAGCAACGAGACTTCGGCTCACGCTCCTCTGCTAGGCGCATGGTCTTTTCTGCGGTGGCCTCAGTACTGCGCAACGGTTCACAGTGTCCCTCTTAACTCTCCAGAGGGTGAGTAAAAGCTTGGGTTCGGGTTTGCCTTTGAAAACTAACTGAATGCCCCTGCCCTATTGTTTTCTTGGCAGCTCGGTTATTTAGCTAGGGCTGCTTTTGTACCCATTGTTTACGTTGGTTTACGAGTCTGTGAAACGACACGGAAATCAATATATGGCCGCTTTTAAACATAGCAAGGGCTTTCTAGCTGAACCAGTGTCACCCAGGCAAAGCCTTCAGCACCTAGTCTCAGTTTCCCGCAATGCAAAATGGGCACAGCGGTGAGAGAAGCCCAGTGAGGCATACAACGAGACCAAAGGATCAGGAAGACCCTTGCAATAAACATTTTGTCCCTTATCTCCTGCCAAGCTGCCCATCGTACCATGCCGCGGTTCTCCTAGAGCCAGTCACGCCTTTGGGGCTTTTGGAAAAGAGCAAGGCTAAGACCTCTGAAGGACTAGAAACTTTAAATAAACAATCCTCTAGCAGAAAGTGACAGCACAACAGCAGGAGAAAAACCCTCGACTTACCTTGGTGTATTTGACCTCCAGGTTCTTAACGGGATGAGGCAGCGGCGGAGCCCCCCGTTTCTCCGGCTGCCCATTTTCCACGGTCCCGTTGAGCGCAGCCATCTGGCAGCAGCGAGCGCCTTCGCCCAGTCGGCCACGCAGCCCAAGCAGCCGCGCTTCCCGGGCTCGCCTTTATAGCCCGCAGCTCTCCGGCAGCCCTCGGCCGAGCGCTCCCATTGGCTGGGCGGCCCGGCCCGCCGCGCCGCGCCCCGCCCTCCCTCGCCCGCCGGGCGCGCGGCTGCAGCTGACCAGCGGCGGCAG